TTTCAAGCATATCTATTGCATCAAGCATATCTATTCATCAAATTTTTCGTGAAAATTTAGATTGTTTGCTTTTTCCACGGAACTGTGAAATGTGAAATTAATTATCAGGAGTAAACTCTGTACTTTGGCGTCGAATCGAATACCGCAGGAGCAATTGAATTTTTTTTTTCAATTTAATTTGCTCAATTTAAATTAAAATTTTTCATTTTGCGTCAGTGGGCTCATATTTTCACATTTAAATGAATTGAAATTTAAGTGAAAATTTAAATCAATTTGAATTGATTTTTTGAATGGATATAACCAACCGCTTAACTATGATTACTTCGCAAGCGTTATCAAATTGGAATATAACTTTTAGGGTTAACAACAAATTCAATTGAAGCAGTTGGCATTTCTGTTCTGATGGAATATCTGGTCAACAGAGATAATCTATTCGTTTTTTTTTGAAACATGTATTATCTCCTTTTGTTTCGCTTTTTATTTATCATATTTTAAAGGTGTTTTTGGCATATATGATTTGACTGATGTTATATCTGTTTATTTTTTTTCATTATTGGTCATTTGAAGGACCGAAAAAGTCTTAAATTTATTCGTACTTCCGGAGGGGGTTGTGGAACTTTTCGTCGAACTCAAAGTTTTTATTGCTCAAAATTGTTTTTTATGGCTGAGCAGTCGTCTACCCAAGTGTACTCAGTTTCCGCTCGATGAATTATGATTTCATTACTTTTTACAGTTGCGAGAGCAAGTGTCTTGTAATCGGGAACTAGAATTTTTTCTGTAAACAAATTTTCTTACAAGAAATTGACCTTACTTTGTTACTGAACCCTAACAACTTCCAGGTGACTTCCACTTGGACTGGTGGTAACCCGGTTAATTTTGCATCCCAATGTCCGGGGTTAAAGTCCCGGGGAGACCTTGGTTTTTTCTAGTGTATTTGAAATTGAAAGTTTTTTTCCGGTAAAAATTGATTAGTCGGATTCTCGTATGTCTGCTCAAGTTTTGTCGGCTAAGGTGCCAGATCACGGATTTTCTTGTACCGTAAGTAAGTATAATGATAATTGCAAGTGTTTTCAATTGTAGTTTCACTTTTGTTCTTGAAGCTTTTAAATTTTAAAGTTTTTTTAACTTTTAAAGTTTTGTTAAGTTTTTGAGTTTTTTTAAAAAAGTTTCATTTAAAGCTTAAGTCATTTTACTTTCGGCTCAATTGGTTTCTCCTCAAAGATTGTCGGCCTCGTTTCTGCTTCGTAAGTTTTGTTGCGTTGCTCATTTAAAATTCAAATTTTTTGCTTGGCATAATAAATTAGAGTTCCTGTTCCATGAAAATCGGTATGTGAAAATGTATGGGATTGGTTTTTTTAAATTTTATTGAGACGCTGTTGAAAATTTCAGTTTTTTTAAAAAAATGTTTTGGTTTTTTCTCATAAATTTACCTACCGATTTCTATAAAAGGTTACCAATCAAAAGATCGCCCGCTTACCAGCGTGCCTGCAGAATCCCCTAGCCTCTTCTTACTTTCCCCACTGTCTGGAATCTTCGAAAAAGTCTGTTGGGGAGTTTTTTTCAAAATATTTAGGTTTTTGTTTAAGAAACTATCTCCCCAAATATAAGATTTTGAGTTCAACGGATAGAAGGATATGTGGGAAGCTCCCCTGCATAAACGGCTACGCCCAATTTTTTTCAGCAAAAAGTTATGGCCCTCGGTATACTAACTTTTTTTTGTGCTTTTTTTGGCTTTTTCGAGAACCCCTCTTCCAATCTGAGGTACTGGATTCAGCCCAGAGCAGACTGGGAGATGCTCCCATGCATTTGCGACATCGCCCATTTTTTTTAAAAACAAAAAATAAGGACCTCGGAAAAGTCTTTTTTTTTCAGTAAAACAAATTCCAAAAATGTAATAAATTCAGCATCAGTAAAACAAATTCGAACATTATTAAGCAGTTATCTCCAGCTTTATCTAGACATCTAGTTGTCTTTTATCGAGACATACGAAAGTTTTGGGTCACCTGTTTTTTTTAACGTTTTTCATTTTTTTCCGAAATTATTCTTAAATGTTTGTGTTGCTTTGCCTCTGAGTTTAACACTGGCATTTGGGTTTCTCAGAATTTTTCTTCAAAATGAAATGCCTTCAAGAAAAACGTATAAATTGACTGGATGTTTTTAGTAATTTTAAATGAACGAAGTGATGATTTTTTTGAGGAAAAGACTCTTCAAGACCTATAAAAGCTCTAACAACTACAATGCTCCACTTAAGATGTCTTTAATTGCTCTAACAGTATCCGTACAGTACGGCGTAAGGTGTTTTTCCGTGATCAAAGACATCACAAAAAATGCAAATTGAACCTCGCTTTGGATGAATTTGATTTCAGTCCCCTTTTTTCGATCGAAGCCTCAGATTGCGTCAGACTATATGATCGATACTCTGTTTGATCTATACAATTTATATTGCCCACTCAAAACCGTTAAGCTTTCTAATAAAGACCCACCCTACATGAGCCTACTAGTGAAACTCCTATTGAAGAAAAAACAGCAGCTGATGAGAAGACACAAACATCGTGATGCCGATCTCGTATCCTCGCAAATCAGTGCCCTGCTTGTTAGCAATATTGCCTCGGACAAAAAAGCTAAAGGGTCAGCTAAGTGGTGGAAAAAAGTCAACACCTTGTCTGGTCGGAAGCAGAAAGAAGTATTCCGCATTCCTTTCTCAGCAGAAGAAATGAATAAGTACTTCTGCAGTATATCCACTGTTACCAACTATCAAGATCCTATTTTCCTAGATTGTACTTCATCAGAGTTGCCTCAACTAGTGCTACATCATGTTTATAATTATCTAAAGTGGGTCAAGATCACTGCGGCTGGACATTACGATCTCCCACATTGGTTTCTCAGAGAAAATGCACACAATCTGGCTGAACTGTTACATCATCTCTATAACCTTTGTATTCGATATCAAATATTTCCTGATGTGTTCAAGTTGTCTAAAGTATTACCCATTCCGAAGTCGAAAGTTATCACTCAATGCTACATGCTTCGGCCCATATCTGTTACCCCGATACTTGCTCGGATTTTTGAAAGACTCGTATACGATCAATTTGTTTCCAATTCATACAATTTGTAGCTGAATAAGAACCAATTTGGTTTCAGGAACAAATCTTCGACTAGTTGTGCGCTCATTAAATAAATGGACGACTGCAATTCTCTGGAGAAACAGGGATGCAATTATATCCGAATCTTTTCTTTGGATCTTAGCAAAGCCTTTGACAGAGTGCCACACCATCTCATAATCTCACAATTATCTAAAGTTGTCCCGACCACAGATCATCAACGAGCAGTACCAATAGTGGTGTACCGCAGGGGACTGTGATGGGTCCCCCGTGTTTCAATCTTTCATATGACGACTGTAAAGTTACTCAAACCCTGACGACATTGCAAAGTTTGCGGATGGCAACACCCCTGCATCGGTGGTAAACATGGAGTTGACTCGGCAAATCAAACCATCAGTCACATCATGGAATGGTGTGAATCCAATTATCTTATCTTGAACAACGAGAAATCCAAAAATTTGATATCCAAAGATTTACTCACTCAGTTACTATTCAACCTATTCATGACATTGAGATCACCGACAAACTTAAAATTCTAGGCATCACGTTCACCGATAAACTCTCTTTTGAACCTCACATAACAAAGGCAACCAAAAAGCCTCATCACAGCTTTTTCTGCTGATAAAGTTGAAAAGCGTTGGATACACCAAAACTGAACTCAATCTTCTGTACAATCAGCTTGTTATGCCCATCCTATTGTATGGTATTCAAGTATGGGGGGGGGGGGGGGCACCCTAATATTTGCTTGACAAGATAGACCGAGTCCAGAGGAGGGCTGTTGATGCAGGCGTTATTCAAGGGTTTGTCTCAATCAACGACTTAGTAAGGAAAGGGGACGAAAAACTTTACCGAATTATATCGAGAGATGACAACCATATTCTTTCAAGTATAATTCCATCTCGATCACAGTATAGCAAAGCAAGATTGAGAGCGCGAAATCCATTCGGCAATTATCTGATGAAAGAAAAATATATGCCGCATTTCTTTGACAGGTTCTCGAGAAACTACAATTTGTAAATGTATTTGCCAATCATGTTTATTGGGACAAATCTCTGAGAGGTCTCGGAATATAAGCGCTATTAGTACGGTTCTATAACTTGGCATACAAATCACTGATATTGCTACGAAGAATTTGACCGGAATGAAATTTCGGATTCTAATTGATTTTCCATGAGAAACTACAATTTGTAAGTGTATTTGTTAATCAGTTGTACTTTACTGATTTCAATTAAGACTTATTTATTTATTTTATTACAGAAATGCATTCATACACATTAATGTTCTTATGAATGCTTTTTGGTACATATGCACTTCTCGAATTCAATTCAAATTAATTTGCTTATCCGGAAGTGGCGCGAAAAAACGTGAATGTCTCCTAGTTTCGCTTTTCGTTATACTTCGCACATTTATTATATTATATTTTAAAAGCCAAAACTTTTGGCAAATTAAGTGTAAAATTTGAGTTTTTGAATCGCATTTCATTTGGCAGAGTAACTTATTTGCAAAAACTATCTCAGTAGTAGAACAATTGATTGGAAATGAAATGAGTATAATATGAAACATAGTTCTGAAATTTAATGCATGCACTATACTCAAAATTACCACCAAAACTACCACCGAAAGTGAATTTTGATTTTTAGATTTTTCAGCAGAATAAAAAATTTACCAATTGATCCAGTTTTCTTAATGGAAAAAATTTTAACCAAACAGTCCATCTTAAATTGTTTTCTTGAAATTCAAAAAGTTTTAACCTGAGAAGATTGTTTCTTTGAAATTGGAAGCTAATTTTCTGTTGTATCGCAAATGTTGCGAAGCTCGGCTTGGTCTATGTGTCCCATTGTCTGAGCTTTGTTGAATTTTCGATAGTTTTTAAAACTAATTTGCGTGGTGTGAGTTTAGATTTGAATCAGAAAATACGAATCGAACACCAAATTGACGGAGTGAATGAGAAAGTGAAAACTGCCAATGAGTGTCTCTTCTCAGTCACTCACTCTCTCTCCCGATCCACTGCTAAACTAGTCGACTTCATCTGCGAACACGAGAAGTTGTTCGTCAAGAGTATTCTCTCTTCTCAGCCTTGTTACGATTTCACAAGCAGTCCGAACAACCAATTAAGTGTGATAGTATCAAGTAATAATGACATGCTATCATCCAATGCTGCCTTTTCGCCACAATCTCTAAGCGCCGACAGTACGATTAGGCCGAAAACGTTTGAGCAAATCAGAAAACAGATAGTCCTCAAACAGTCCGAATACAATATACTGCTGTGTCAGTTGAAAGAATTGGATATATCTGCCGGGTGTACTGATAAGCAGAATAATGAGAATACAGAAAAGTTTGGTGATATGAAATTAAATGAGTTGTTCGGTTTTGGCGACAGTGGGAATGGGTTGTGTCTTCCGACTAGTAGTGACGGAGTAGCTTTACTGTATAGAGATGAGGCAACCACACTCTTCCATAGGTTGAGTTTGAGTGAGTCGATGGCCAAGCAGGTAGCAGAAGAACGGGCTAAGCTCAAGGTACGTTTCATGTTTTTATAAGTGATGATGACAATTTTTGGTTCCCTGCCACTGAAGGGCTGGGATAGAATTCATGACGCATGGCCAGTTTTTCTGCAAAGTCGAGTGCATTTCGTTTTATAATCTTCAACGTATTTTGTTTAGTTGAAGCTTCTTTGGGCTTGGGAAAAATTCGCAGAAATTTTGATAGCCAGACGGTTTCCGGCTATAGGAAAGTGAATTAAGGAAAGAACCAAAGAAAGATTTCACTTTATTTTTTAAAGCTTATTCAGGCCATGTTGGTCGTAGTATCCGAGATTCGATTTTTTTTCGCGAACCAAAAATATACGAAAATGAAAAAAGCAAAATAGACATTTCAAAAAAGGTTTTCGAAGTGCGGTTGTAAAATTCTGTGCTAGTTGTAAAATGACCGACTACCCATTTTTATTTAGGAAAAGCTCATTCTCAAGCAACAGGAACTAGACTCCACTCGTGATTCATACCAGCAGCAGTTATCGGCCATGAGTGATCACGTGTGCGAACTGAATGAACAAATCAGCATTTTCCGAGAACTCCAACAGGCGACTAAAGATTCGAATTCGGCCGTGGGCAAAGCGCACCTTAGTTTCGGTGACGCTCAAGGGTCAAATCAGAATTACATTTATCCTGGTGATGTCCAATTTCAACCTCCCTCTAATGGAAGTAAAGGCAGCTTGACCTCGACCTCATCATCTTCAAAAAAGAAATCTGTTACTGGTCAACCATTAATAGCTGTTGATCAATCGAGTAGCGAAATGGGTGCAAGTAGCAGTAATAGCAATGCTTCTGGTTCTTCGTTAGCTGCCATTGGCTCAAATACTCTAAAATCAGCCGGTGCTAAAATAGGCAACATTTTTAGGTGACAGTTGTTATATGATTATTGTTGTCATTGTTGAGTGAGTGACAAGATTTCTATCGTTTATGATTAGTTTTCTTTTCCCAGTTAAAATTAGTTAATAAATAAATTCACTATTCCTTGCCTTCATTAGACACCAGCTTAAACTATTTATTGATGCAATTTGAATCAAAATTGAGATATTTGATTGAGTCAGCTTGTTTAAAGTAAGCCTTGAAAAAAAAAACAAAGACAAAGTTCCTCCCCATTTTCAGTGGTCAGAATAAAAATAGATTGATCAGCTATAGGAGGCAAAAAAGCTCTAGATAGAATGCACTAGTTGTTAATGATGACAAAGACAGCCGATTGATTTGCAAGTAGTATAGACTGCTTCGACCACATTTAACATTTCATAAAAAGTTGTAAATTGACCGGTTCCTCAGTTCAGCGATGAACGATTTCTAGCTCTAAAACATTTTAACGGTAGATTGAAAGGATTTAAAGGGGTACTATAATCGGTTTTTCTAAGCTCAAAAAACCAAAGTGTTGAATAATTCTTGATTTGTTTCATATTTTTAAAGAGAAGCGCCCACTGAATTTTCTTTTCTTGTTAAGTTTACTTTATTTCCTTGGCTAAAAGAAAGCAAACTCCACTATCGAACATAAAAAGTGTAAAGGTCACGAAAAACGTGGTCTTCTAATTTTAAAAGAAGGTTTTTCATTTTCAAATTTCCCGGCGGAATAAATTAAGCTATTGACCCAGTGTTCTCAAATTGGATAAGTTTTATCAAAAATTTTAGATGTTAAATTCTAAGAGCTTTAAAGCCATCTATTTTTCCAAAGTTAAAGTTTTTTCAAAAAACAAGTCAATAAATTTTTCTGTTTCCGTGCATTCATTGACTCTTTTTGTTAAGTTTTGTTTTTTAAGGCGAAAAAATTTACTCGCAGACTACAAAATGCTTTTAATGTAGATAAATGAACCGAGTCTTTTCTGTTATGCGGCCCAGAATTAGCAAAACGTTGAATAACCTTAAGATGTTGGTACACTTCTATGATAGAGTAGTCCCATAGAAAAGTTACTATGATAAAACTTTTCGGATTAAAAATTGTAATTACTATATTGTTTATATCAAGAAAAATGATCGCTTCGATTTAACGATTAAAAACCTTAGTTGGGTTGTTTTGGTTGTAATAAAAATTCAAAATAGGCGCTTTTTTGAATTTTTTGCATAAAAATAGGGAGGAGGAGGTTTTACGAATGAACGAAACATGTTTAAAAATTTGTTTGAAAATTTACTGCGACTTTTTTCGCGGTCGCAGGTACGAATCCGACACATAGCTTACGTTTAACTAATTCGAGGCGCATTTCTACTTTTTCTTAGTTTACTCTAGAGCTGCTTTTTGTCGTTTTCTCGCTAATGTTTGCGAAGCGCAGCTTCGACTCTGTGTAATAAGCTAGAATTGTTTCTGGGAAATCCCAACCTGTGAAATGGTTTCAGATGGTCTTGTGTACTCGTTGCAAGGAGGCCAACGCGGTTATAAAGCGGCCCAAAAATGGTGCTACTTTATGCAAAGCATGTTTCTTCTTCACTTTCGAGACCGAAGTAGACAGAACAATCCGCGTGAACAAACTGTTTCAACGCGGAGACAAAGTGGCCATTGGAGCATCGGGAGGCAAAGATTCGACTGTGTTGGCATATGTGATGAAATTGTTGAATGAGCGACATGACTATGGACTGGAGTTATTTCTGCTATCAATTGACGAGGGAATTCAAGGTTTGTGATTTGCGTGACGGTATTATAGACACGAGCTAGACAGGTGCTTAAAAATTATAGTTATTTGTGTGAAAAATATACAAGCGTTTGACCAAACCTTTTGCGGCATGTGGCGTTTTCCGACTTCACATTCGTTAAATTAGTGACAAAAATGCTGCTAACATTAAAGAAAAACAAAGACAACTAAAAACGAAGACTGCACCGGATTGACCGATTCCATAGAAAAGCACGAATGTTTAACTGTACATGTTGGTTAAATTTTAGGATATCGCGACGATTCCTTGGAAACAGTCAAACGAAACGAATCCCAGTACCAAATACCTCTCAAAATCTTAAGCTATGCGGATCTGTATCAGGGCTGGACAATGGATAAAATAGTTAAAGCTATCGGGCGCAAAAACAACTGCACTTTCTGTGGAGTGTTTAGAAGACAGTCTTTAGATAGAGGAGCCGCTCTTTTAGGTATGTTTGAATAGTTTGTCTTGATAATTCCAATGGGTTACTGATAGGACTTGTATCTGCCTTCGCTCAAACTTATAGCTTTGAGTTCGAGTGCATTTTAAACATGATGGTTTATGATGACATACAAGTTAGAGAAAACAGGTAGATCTACTATGTTGAAATCGGAATGTTTTCGAGTTGACTAATTCATCATGGGTAAATTTTCTGAGAATTGTTCAAAATTAACAACAAATAAATTTTCTGAGAAATGTTCAAAATTAACAACAAATCAAGTAAAAATCTTACAGAACACGGAATGTAAATTAGCACCAACCGACATTACAGCTAAAAAAAGCATACTTTAAATGAACGATCAATCTTTTTTGAAAAACTTGTATATTATGCTTGTAACTAAAACTTGTATTACATTATGCCAAAGAACAAGATCAGGCCTAGAAGTTGAACATATATATGCAAAACGAGCGATTTGATGATCTAGGCGTGAACAAAGTGGCGACTGGTCACAATGCAGATGATGTTGCTGAGACGGTGCTGATGAATATAATGAGGGGAGATGTTGCGAGACTGCGGCGGTGCTGTACTGTGATCACGGGAAACAAGGTCATTTAATAGTCATCTTTCTAATCCTCATTTACCAGTCCTTTTTCTTCAGTGTTTTTGTAGAGTCTAATTGTGCATTTTTTATGTTTCTTCAGAACATTCTTGTTGATATCAGGTTATTTTTACTAGTTTGGGTTTCTTGAGTTCCACGAGTTTCGGATTCAATATAAATGTATTCTAGTAATTTGGGTACTATAGGTCAGCAATCCTCCAAATTGGGCATTATACAATAGGCCAAACTTTTATAGGGCGGGATTCCGCGATGCAAGCCTCTGAAGTACACATACGAGAAAGAAATCGTTATGTACGCTCACTTCAAGAAGCTCGACTACTTTTCAACTGAATGCATCTACGCTCCAAACGCTTACAGAGGCTATGCTAGAACATATCTTAAAGATCTGGAAAGCATCCGACCTTCGGTCATCATGGATATCATTTACTCCGGTGAAACTATGCAGTTTGTCGATTTACCAGCGTGTATGCCTACCCAGCGAACCTGTGAACGTTGCGGATTCGTCGCAAGTAACGCTTTGTGTAAAGCCTGTGTTTTACTGGAGGCTTTGAATAAAGGGAAACCGAAATTGGCAGTTGGAAAGGCGAGGGATCAACGGCAGTTAGCGAATATTCCAGAAGTTTCTAGAACCAATGTGTCTTGCAGTGAGAAGGATCCAAACAAAAATTGCAAATGTGCAAGTGCAGCTGAAAATGGGAGTGGGGATTTAGGGTTATCGAAGGAAAATTATGAACAAAATTCGACTGTTAAAATGCAATCAATTGATTTCTAAGCTGAGAAATTGGAACGGTTCTTGAATCTTTACAGTCAGTTTGAAGATTTGTTTCAAGTCCATCCAGACCAGGAGAATAAGTCTCGCTTCTAGGTTTTTTCAGGTTCTCAGAACATGTACTGCAAAGGATTTCGAATTCAAAAAAACAGTTAGGAATCGGAAAAACAGTTTGGAATCGTGGTGCTTTATTTCATGTATAAAATTTTTCAGAACTTGCAATAAAATTTAAAGAAATTGCGTTAGTTTTATCAAAATAAATTCAATTAGAAACGGTTTTTGAAAGCCATTAAACATTAAGATGATATATTTTTTCTATAAGTTTTCAATATAAAGAAATCAGTCTTTTTGGTCGCTTCGAGTGCACTGTCCCCTTTTCCAACTGTCTGTTGGCTATGTCATTAAAACAATGAACGTTATTTTTTTTCTCTTTCTTGGCTCAATTGAAAGTTTTGGTTTGCTTTGAGTCACCTAAAAATAGGCTAGTGCTAGACAGCAGTGTAATGGAGATCTCTATCTATCTATCTATCTATCTATCTATCTATCTATCTATCTATCTATCTATCTCTAGTCACTTCGAAGGGAAATACTAATGTCTACATCATTTTGTATTATGATCTCATTTGAAGCAATATGTTATTCATTTGAAGCAATATGTTATTTCTAAATAGTTTTTAAGATATTGTAGATGTATAAAAAGAAAGGCGTGAAGGACATAGAAGACCACCCCACCTTCTACAGAGATGCGAACGACTACTGGACCAAAGTGGATCCCACAGTCCAGGGCATGATGGGTGGTCTGGAACAACTATCGTCAATTGATCTCACGTCATCCATGCAGTTCGTCTACTCATATATCCAGGTACTTTCTATTTGCTGATTTTTCAGTACTTATGCGCTCTTTTTTTACCTTAATCCAGAAAATGGCATGTATTATATTGTCGCATTTTCGAGAGACTTTGGATTCTATCATTTAAATTGATTATTTCATACACAATTTGAAAATAATTTCAATTTCGTTCTGTTTTTTTTTTCTGATACAATGCTGAAATATTTTCAAGAAATTTACAGCTCAATTAATCCGATGTTTACACGTGCCAGAGCAAGTGTTCTGTAAACGGGAACTAGACGTTTTTTCCTCAAACAACTACTCTTACAAGAAATGTATTATATTGTCGCATTTTCGAGAGACTTTGGATTCTATCATTTAAATTGATTATTTCATACACAATTTGAAAATAATTTCAATTTCGTTCTGATTTTTTTTCTGATACAATGCTGAAATATTTTCAAGAAATTTACAGCTCAATTAATCCGATGTTTACACGTGCCAGAGCAAGTGTTCTATAAACGGGAACTAGACGTTTTTTCCTCAAACAACTACTCTTACAAGAAATACCACATGCTTTAATATTGAACCTTATCAACTTCGAGGTTCCTTCCCATTTAGCCTGGAGGTAACTCGGTTGCTTTTGCATCCTAGGGTCTGGGGTTTGAGTCTCAGTAGGACCTTGTTTTTTCAGAATTAACGAGAAAACTTTTACCGGTGAATTCCAATGGGTTCGAGTTTGAGTGCATTTTAAACATGATGGTTTATGATGATATGCAAGTTAGAGAAAAACAGGTAGATCTATGTTGAAATCGGAATGTTTTCGAGTTGACTAATTCATCATGGGTAAATTATCTGAGAAAGGTTCAAAATTAATAACAAATAAATTTTCTGAGAAATGTTCAAAATTAACAACAAATCAAGTAAAAATCTTACAGAACACGGAATGTAAATTAGCACCAAAATGAGAAACTTTATCGTGGTAAGAACTACGACATTACAGCTAAAAAAGCATACTTTAAATGAATGATCAATCTTTTTTGAAAAACTTGTATATTATGCTTGTAACTAAAACTTGTATTTTATTATGCAAAAGAACAAGACCAGGCCTAGAAGTTGAACATGTTTATTCAAAACGAGCGATTTGATGATCTAGGCGTGAACAAAGTGGCGACTGGTCACAATGCAGATGATGTTGCTGAGACGGTGCTGATGAATATGTTGAGGGGAGATGTTGCGAGACTGAGGCGGTGCAGTACTGTGATCACGGGAAACAAGGTCATTTAATGGTCATCTTTTCCAAACCTCGTTTACCAGTCCTTTTTCTACAGTATTTTTGTAGAGTCTAATTGTGCATTTTTTATGTTTCTTTAGAACATTCTTGTTGATATCAGGTTATTTTTACTAGTTTGATGTTTCTTGATTTCCACGAGTTTCGGATTCAATATAAATGTATTCTAGTAATTTGGGTACTATAGGTCAGCAATCCTCCAAATTGGGCATTATGCAATAGGCCAAACTTTTATAGGGCGGGATTCCGCGATGCAAGCCTCTGAAGTACACATACGAGAAAGAAATCGTTATGTACGCTCACTTCAAGAAGCTCGACTACTTTTCAACTGAATGCATCTACGCTCCAAACGCATACAGAGGCTATGCTAGAACATATCTTAAAGATCTGGAAAGCATCCGACCTTCGGTCATCATGGATATCATTTACTCAGGTGAAACTATGCAATTTGTCGATTTACCAGCGTGTACGCCTACCCAGGGAACCTGTGAACGTTGCGGATTCGTCGCAAGTAACGCTTTGTGTAAAGCCTGTGTTTTACTGGAGGCTTTGAATAAAGGGAAACCGAAATTGGCAGTTGGAAAGGCGAGGGATCAACGGCAGTTAGCGAATATTCCAGAAGTTTCTAGAACCAATGTGTCTTGCAGTGAGAAGGATCCAAACAAAAATTGCAAATGTGCAAGTGCAGCTGAAAATGGGAGTGGGGATTTAGGGTTATCGAAGGAAAATTATGAACAAAATTCGACTGTTAAAATGCAATCAATTGATTTCTAAGCTGAGAAATTGGAACGGTTCTTGAATCTTTACAGTCAGTTTGAAGATTTGTTTCAAGTCCATCCAGACCAGGAGAATAAGTCTCGCTTCTAGGTTTTTTCAGGTTCTCAGAACATGTACTGCAAAGGATTTCGAATTCAAAAAAACAGTTAGGAATCGGAAAAACAGTTTGGAATCGTGGTGCTTTATTTCATGTATAAAATTTTTCAGAACTTGCAATAAAATTTAAAGAAATTGCGTTAGTTTTATCAAAATAAATTCAATTAGAAACGGTTTTTGAAAGCCATTAAACATTAAGATGATATATTTTTTCTATAAGTTTTCAATATAAAGAAATCAGTCTTTTTGGTCGCTTCGAGTGCACTGTCCCCTTTTCCAACTGTCTGTTGGCTATGTCATTAAAACAATGAACGTTATTTTTTTTCTATTTCTTGGCTCAATTGAAAGTTTTGGTTTGCTTTGAGTCACCTAAAAATAGGCTAGTGCTAGACAGCAGTGTAATGGAGATCTCTATCTATCTATCTATCTATCTATCTATCTCTAGTCACTTCGAAGGGAAATACTAATGTCTACATCATTTTGTATTATGATCTCATTTGAAGCAATATGTTATTCATTTGAAGCAATATGTTATTTCTAAATAGTTTTTAAGATATTGTAGATGTTTAAAAAGAAAGGCGTGAAGGACATAGAAGACCACCCCACCTTCTACAGAGATGCGAACGACTACTGGACCAAAGTGGATCCCACAGTCCAGGGCATGATGGGTGGTCTGGAACAACTATCGTCAATCGATCTCACGTCATCCATGCAGTTCGTCTACTCATATATCCAGGTACTTTCTATTTGCTGATTTTTCAGTACTTATGCGCTCTTTTTTTACCTTAATCCAGAAAATTGCATGTATTATATTGTCGCATTTTCGAGAGACTTTGGATTCTATCATTTAAATTGATTATTTCATACACAATTTGAAAATAATTTCAATTTCGTTCTGATTTTTTTTCTGATACAATGCTGAAATATTTTCAAGAAATTTACAGCTCAATTAATCCGATGTTTACACGTGCCAGAGCAAGTGTTCTGTAAACGGGAACTAGACGTTTTTTCCTCAAACAACTACTCTTACAAGAAATACCACATGCTTTAATATTGAACCTTATCAACTTCGAGGTTCCTTCCCATTTAGCCTGGAGGTAACTCGGTTGCTTTTGCATCCTAGGGTCTGGGGTTTGAGTCTCAGTAGGACCTTGTTTTTTCAGAATTAACGAGAAAACGTTTACCGGTGAAAATTGAATTGTATTAGACTTCCGTTTGTCTACTCAAGCTTTGTCGGCTTAGATGCTACATCACGGATTTTTCTTGTACTTTAAGCAGATACCATAGTGATTGCAAGTGTTATTCACTGTAGTTGCGTTTAGTTTCGAAATTTTTAAATGTTTTATTTTATATTATTTTTTGTTCGGCTCAACTATTTTCTGCTCAAAGATAGTCGTCTTTGTTTCCGCTTCTTAATTTTGCTCTGTTGCTAATTAGAAAATCAAATGTTTTGCTGGCCTTGTTTTCTGGGTGCTAATTATAAAAGTGTATGAAATTGGGTTTTTATTTCATTTTGTTTTTGTGAGACAATTTGGATTTTTTATTTCACTTTTTGCAAAACATTTTAGTTTTTCTCTAAAACTACCTCACCGTTTTTCGAAGGTCTCTTAGAAAAGATCGCCTACTGACATGTGTGTCTGTATGATCCTCTTGCTTTACGCAAACGAGCTTGCGAGCATTAGTGTATTTGTACGAACTCTCTTTTTTTTCTAACCTAATAAGCAAATAAAAGTGACATTTTTGCCATATTCACGATCTGTAGCATTAGAAATTTGAAAGCATCTTTTCTCTGCTTTATTTGCGGCTAGTGTCTGTGATTAATTAAACGTCCCTGGCTGAAAGGTATGTGAGACTCATAATTTCTAGTTCGTAGATCGAATCCGAGACGTAACCGAAATTTTACCAATTCGAGACTTATGCTTTTTCTCATTTGTACTACAATAATGAAAACTCGGTTTCAGAAATTTTCTAAATCAATATATCTCACAATTTTTGAAACGTTAATTATATACGTAATGTGGCTTTATGCTTTCCAATTTATTAGGTGCAAATTTAGTATGGATGCCTTTAGTTTGTTATATTCCAAACAATTACTTGGAAAATTGTGTCCATTTGTATTTAGTGCCATTTTTGCAGCATGGCATTGGCAATTTGTTAGCATCTCTAGCTGCTTTTTGTGTCAGTTTTTAAGCATTCATGGCCGAGAGGGCAGAGTGTGAGACTCCAATTCTCAAGGTCGCAGTTTCGAAGCCCATACGTAGCAAATTTTACCACTTCGAGGCTTATTTCTACTTTTTCTTGTTGCACTTTTTAAAGCTGCTTTTTTGTCGTGTTCTCGCTAGTTTGCAAAGCTCAACTTCGCCTCTGTGTTGACATTTTGAAATTACTCATTTCATCCCGCATCAATGTTCAAAAATTATCAAACAGGTACTTTCAGCTGTTGCCTGCCCCTGGTTTTATTTTTCTTGAAACAAACGAAACGTTGGTGTTGGATCGCATGTATTGCAAGTGATGCGAAACTCAGCTTCGCCTCTTTTGTTGCTCCGATATCAATTTTCTGATAACTGATAGTTGTCAACAGTTTTCAATGGCTCATCCTTTAATTATGTCGCCCAATAAGTAGATTAGACAATCAAGGATCAAGGACATAAGTTATCAATAGTTGTTAGTAATCTAATAATAATAAATTGTTATCAAGGACGGTTTTGTTGCACAGATAATTAAGTATAATTCAACATTAACCGAGCACCGCCTGTTACAAAGCGATGTATGAGAGCTTTCCTAAATTTTTTGCTAGTAATCTTTTTTCAGTGTTTTGAACTATGCTATTTTGTTTTCAAAAGTAAAAGTTTCAAATTTAAAAACGCCAAGAGGAACAACTGTCAAAATATAAAAATTTGCATATATAAAACAATCACCAGAAAATCAGTTGAATCAATTATGCTGACATGCTCAATTTCATGAAAATTCGAATTTAACTACTGGGTACTACTTTTGTATGTACAATTTTTGTATGTACAATGTAAAGTGCTGCTGATTTCTGCTGAAAATTGTTTGCTTTTTTTTCTAGCTTTATGGTTATCGATTTAAGCTCTGTCGGTTTAGTTTCCAAATTATCTAGATCCTGTTTGATAAAAACAGGTGTTATGAAAATGTATGGCCTTTTGAAACAGTTTGACTTTTCTCGAAAAATACCCTCCCAAATATGAGATTTTAATTTCAATCGAAAGGTCGGGTTTGGGGAAGCTCCGCTGCGTAAATGGCTCTGCCTAAATCTTTTGAACGAAAAGTTATGACCTTGGAAAAGCCAAAATTGTTTCTTTTTTTTTTTTACAGTTTTTGAAGTTTTTTTGCTTTTCTTAAAAACTACCCACCCACTGTTGGGTTCAGTAGAGAGAACGAGTCATGAGAAGCTCACCTGCTTGAGCTGACAAGCCCAAATGTTTTCACATCAGAAGTTATGGCCTTCGGAGATGTGGAAGTTTCTATTTTTTGACAGTTTTTTGAATCATTTTTGACTTCTCACCCTTCCAAATCTGAGGCGGCGAAAATATTTTATCATAATCACACCTCGCGTAACTTTTGGACCTAATCCCCGCTTTTTGACGTTTAAGAACTTGTTATTTCAGTAATTTTAAAAGAGTTAATTTTTTGACCTACTTTTTTTAGTTGAAAATAAGCCATCAACTTGTGATTTGTACCATTTGTGCTTGTTTCGATGGCTTATATTGCCGGTTTTCGCCATTTGTGCTTGTTTCGATTGCTTAAATTGCCGGAAGTATTCATAGAAAATATCAAACAAGTACTTCCAGCTTCAGCCGGTCTCCAATCTACTTTGCATACGCTACTACGCTACTGATATATCTTTTTTTTAAACTAAATTTTCACCTTTTTGGATGTTGACTTAGTTGCCGATTATTTTTTCTTAAAGTGTACTTCTTTTGAGATCGATAAGACTCTGACACCAATTTCTGACTGTCAAATTTCAACCCCACTAAGACCTCTTTGAAAAACTCAAATAAATTCAAGCACGAAAAAAAAATTCGTAATATTGTTCGAAGTTCTGTTTGCTAATTTTTTTTACCGTCATGGTGCACTCATTCTATAATTATTGTTGCGCAAGTAGTGCGAAGCTCAACTTCGCCTCTGTGTTTTATGAATAAAATCATCAAGCTTCAATTTTTCAATGTTTTTTTAAAATCGCAGGTTCAAATTTTGCAAATGTGTTGTAAAGTATTCTGACTAATTGATATCTTTAATGACATAAAGACCCTTCTTTTTCACTTTTTAAGATAAAACCATGAACGAAGCCCAAAATATGTTAAGGCCGATTGTCTTTCCGGTTGTCATTATCAGTTTAAAAATCTTGTTAAGGATCTGAAAAAGAACTCAACTGAAACTCGAGTTGCAGATTGCGGATCTGGTATAGGCCGAATCACAAAATGTCTCTTATCTGGACTGTTCGATAAAATTGACATGGTCGAACAGTGCGCTGTGTTCTTGGACAAAGCAGAAGCATATCTGGGAGATGAGAGGAAGAAAGTGGAACAAAAAATTTACAAAGGATTACAAGATTTCTACCCTGAGAAAAACAGATACGACGTGTTTTGGTGCCAATGGGTTTTGTGTTACCAGGCAGATAACGATTTGGTTAAGTTTCTTGAAAGATGCAGAGAAGCTTTAAAGCCAGGAGGTTTCATTTTTGTAAAAGAAAACACAACTAATACAAAAAGCAGAAAAGCTGTTGAATTTGACGAAGTGGATAGTTCAGTTTGCAGACATGAGACACTTTTCAGAAAGATTTTTGATGAAAGTGGGTTAGAAGTTATTGAATCGTGTCAGCAGCCGAATTTCCCAGAAGAATTGTTTCCTGTTTACATGTTTATTCTAAAGCCGAAAGCTGAAACGACCAGCTAGAATAGAATTTGAAATTAATTGTGCTTTGGTGGTACCATATTGTTTCCAATTTTGATGCACGCATGTTTTATTGTTTTTATCTGAAATTCATAAGCTCAAACTCCCATTTTTGCAATGAGTGAGGCTCAAATAGATTTTAAAAACTTGGATCATTATCTTTTAATTCGAAAATAAATAGCCAATTCATTCTATTTCTATTTGTTTATAAAGAAGGGTAAATTGTCTTTAGCTGGCACGGAGTTGATAAATTTCGTGTTTAGGAACGTGGCGTGTTGTCCTCGACTCCTTTTCATGCTTCGACTTGGGTAACTTCGACGTTGCTTCCCTGAAATTCACAAAATTGAGGCTTTACTGGCTCTATCAACCTCAAATTGAATACTTTCGTATTCCAAAAAGAATTTTGAAAATAGTTTATCAAAAAGCTATTCGGGCTACATTTAGTTGGTGCCTGATTAGTTTCTAACTAAATGTATACAAGTTTTTTTCAAACCCAAGGGACTCAAATGTAAATGTCATGTTCTAGTATTTGTAGCTATTTTTAAATGTGAATTATTTTTAAAAAACAATGTAAGTTGAAAAATCTGAAACTTCGCAAAAAGCTTTAAATCGGAACGTCGGTTTTAGCAACTTTGTTCTCTTCACTTTCTGTCTAACTTAAACTCAATTTTAGAGAAAACGCATTTGAAGTTTCCACTGTTGTTCGTTTTCTCCGCTTAATTTGAAACAACTCTGTAAAGTTGGAATAACAACCGAATTTTCCACAGCGCATTTGAAATGTCAAAAAAGCGAACCAAAAAATTTGCGCTCTTTCAGAGGTCAGTTTTTTGAATATGACTTCCTTATAGAGAGCTGCAAAAAGTTCGGACTGACAGAAATAATTAAATAGAGCAATGTGCCAATTTTGCGCAATTTTTGCATGCAAACTTGTCTCAATTTCACCTAAAAACTCAAAAAATTAGCTTTGTGTGCAAAAGTTGTCTGAAAATGGTCTTTGCTCTTTTTAAATTTTTTTTGGCTGTCCGAACTTTTTTATAAAACTGTCCTTACTATATAAAACATCAAGTTGTTTTAATACAAACATGTTTAACCTTTTGCGCCCACTTTAGGAGGTTAAACCCTTCTGAGATAAATTTGTTGGCCCGAATTTTGCAAAACATTGCACTATATGAGTTCTGTTAAAATTTAACGCAAGGTTTGTCTTGTCCAAAATCAACCCAATTCGAGAAAAACGCGTTTTAAATTTCAAATTTTATTCAGTTTGTCCGGATAATTTAAATCAGCTTTGTATATTACGAACTGACTTTTTCTAAACCAGCTCGTACAAATTTAGTTTTCATTTTTGGCGGCACGGCATTTTCGCTGCATGCATAGGATAGCAGCTTAATTTCATGTGTTCTATCTATCCAGAGTTTCGGTTGCTAGTTTTTTGATGCTTCAAGCGCATGTGGCTGAGTGGTTTGGTTATCTGAAGGTCGGGTGCGAATACCGTAAAGGTCAAGTTTTTTAATCTTTTAATGCTTATGCACTCAGTTTTTAGTTTTCCGGCATCATAAGCTCCTTTGGCCATTTCGTCGCCTGCGTTCGCAAAGTGCAGCTTCGCCTCCGTGTAACAGTGTGTGCGCGGTAAAACATTCAAAGTTCACGCCTTAACTGTTAATTTTGATTGAAAGAGTTCGTTTTTTTTGTGTTTGATGGATTATTGAACTTTAAACAGTTTGAAAAAAAGTAAACAGTTTGATCGGTAAACAAATTCTGCCTAGATCATATCGGCTAGCATGTCTGTAATAAATTAAGTTGTATGGCTCGAATTTGACAGATAAGAGGTCACCGTTTTTAAGTTTTACATGTCAAATTAGATTTCCGGTGCTAGAATGATGTTTTTTAGTTGTTTTTGGTTAATTAGTTTTTGCGAATCTATATTTGGCTGGCATACCTTGGCCCAAATAAGATATTTTGAGTGCTCATTATCGTAAAAGACTATGTGCACTGAGTAAACGAAATGGTAATCAGTATGTTTTATAACCGCTAAATTAGTAGCATGGTTAGTAATTTTTATCGGTGCCGAAATTTTTTAAGAAGGTTTTTTTAGCGCTGAGATTGGTCGGTTTCAATTTTGTCGGATTGTTATACTAATGTTTAGTTCTATCATGTTTCGTTGTTTAGATGAGAACGATTAAACTCTAAGAACGGTTAAACTACATGAGAACGATTAAATTTTTTTAAATCTATTTTTTTTGTAAGATCCGATCAACGTAGTCAAATAATAAAATATACATTTTTTATTACTAAGAGTCGATCGAAGGAAATGAGATGAATTCTTTTAAGTGCATTTCGTTTCCTTTGTTAAACGGAAGGCAAACTCCACTATCGAACAGCAAAAGTGTAAACATCAGAAAAACGTGATCGGTTACTTGGTTTCGAAAGTGGATTTTGTTTTTCAGGTTCCAAGCGGATTAAGAAATTTATCTTTTGATCCACTTTTCTCAAATTGGGTTTTTATCAAAAAATATTGTCATAGTCTGTTCTGCAAATTAAACGAGCTTTAAGGCCATATTTTGTGAATTTCGAAAGTTTCAAAAATTAAGTCAGTATTTTTTCTGTTTACTTGCGTTAATATAGTCTTTTCCAAATGTCTGTTGGCTATGTCTTTTCGTTTTCCTCGGGCTTTTTAGTTCTTTTAACAAACTTGGTCGAAACATTTGTCATTTTGATTTCCGTCTTTTTCAATTGTCTGTCGGCTATGTTTTTTCTTTTTCGTTCGGTTTTCAGTTCTTTTTACAACCTTGGTCGAAATAGTTTTAATTTTGATTTAGCAATCTGCGGTTATTACGGTTGTAATTATCAAGGGATAACAAAGTGTTATATAATTTTTTCGGGTTAGCTTGTTTAGCAAAGTCTTTGTTTTTGTTTTCGGTGCAGGGACCCAAGTGTTTCTCGGAAAGTTTTTAAATGAACATTATCTAAGACAAGTGTATGATTTTTAAAAAATTGAAGTCTTTTTCCAGCATACTGGCCTCCGCCCCGTTTTCTATTTTTGAGTTGCATCGCTTAAAATAAGTTATCACAATTTTTTTTCATACATAACTTCAAAAATGGTCAAAATTAGAAATGGTAAATTTAAGTCCAGTTCATAATGTTCATCAATTTTCTTAGCGTTCCCAGCACACTAATACACGTAGGGCGACGAAAGTCCTGGTTTCGAATCTGAGAGGATCTGTTTTTAAACAAGAAATATTCCGTTTCCAAATTAATTGTCAGCTGACTATTTGTCAGCTTTGTTTTGTCGGCTTTTTTGTCATATTGTAGAATTGTTTTGTTTTAGTGGGGCTAATGATTGGGAATAACCTTTTAGCGGCTAACAAACCTAATTTTGAGTCGTTTTAGGGGAAGCATAATTTTTATGCTCATCTCTGGATTGCACAAAATGCTAAAAAAAAAATTATAGAAATTATAGTGCAAATTTTGCATGACAACATTTTCCAGCTTTTTTTTTTGGGCTTGACCTCTGTTTTATCGGGCTAATGGCCCTATATTTCGTCTTTCGGCGATTGAAAAAGGCTGTCATTGGGTGTGTGTGTTTTGAGAGTGAGGGGGAATTATGAACTTTTTGAATTTTTTTTCGACTTAATTCGTTTCGCTTATATTAATTGGGCTTAGTGGCTGCACATTGTTTCATTTGACAGTTACATAATTTTTTTATGTGTGTGTTTTCAGAAGGAGGAGGGACCATAAAAATAGAGGAGGAAGGGGACTATTCATTATTCGTGGAGGAAGGTCTTATTCATGTTGAACCATCTAGTTTTCCCGACACTTGATTTTTGTCCTACTTAGCGGCTTTCTTCATTTGTATTAGAAGTCGTGCGAAGCGAAGCTTCGGCTCTGTGTTTAAAGTTTGCTTGCAGAAATTGTGAATGTGTCTCTTATGGGAAGTGTATGTTTACTCTTACAATAAGTAGGGTTATTGCAATCGGGTACTAGACTATTTCCCATAAATAACTTTGTTCATAAGATGACTGAAATTTGGTCATCTGCATCTCCATTTCTACCCAAGTTGCATGTCTCTAAAATCTGAGGTGATACTTGTTTTATAGCTGACAGTTTTTGAAAGATATTAATTGGTTTTTGACGGCTTCATTAATTTCGGCTCAATTTTGTCGGCTTTCTTGCCTGGTTTTATTATTCTGTTTGTTTTGGAGAATTTTTTCTTGATTTTCATGAAAGTAAATTTAATTCATGGTTTTCTAGTTTTTATAGGCGCTAAAACTTTCTGCGGAAAGTTTCGCACGAGATCTAGGAGTGCGATTCTTTCCGGCTGAATTTTTTGAAAAACCAATTTTTGTATTTTTTTTTTAAATTTCTTTTGCTGGCTTGTAGTTTTTGTATTCATTTTTTAAAAAAATTTTGTGTCTTAATTTTTCTTCTGTTTTGGTCTTCATCTATAGCAAACAGCGGATAAGGCTTTTTAAATCCACGATTGTTACTGCTGGATATGCAGGTTGTTTGGTTGCAAGATTTTTCTGAACAGTTTTTGAGTACATTTAAGAATTTTTGTATCTCAATTTTTGACCGAAATGTTTTCTTAACGTTTCCGTTTATTGGTTATCAGAAAGAACTAGATGGAGTTATGCTCAAATCCTTTTTTCATCAGGTATTGATTTCTATTTAGTAGAAAACGTAGATTTTGTAGTACGAATCACCTTGTCAAGAATAATCTTAGAAGAAATTTGAGAAAGCTTTTGAATGTAATGTCTCCGATGAATGAAAAAGCGTATGAATATGTATATGTATATCTATAGTTTTTTTAGTAGTCCGAATTTGACACGTTTACAAGATTCTCTTGGCTATGTTCAAAAAGCGGTAATCTTAAAAATTTGAAATTGAATCAATTTTAATTTTTTAAAGTTCAATTAACCTGTTTGTAACCCGAGCTCAATTTTTTTTCTACTGGCGGTTTCTAATGCTTTTTACAACTTGTTGATGTTGGTTATAAAAGTAGAAACGCGCGTGCTCATTTTGGCTCGTTCTTTTGCTTTTTGTTGATAAATTTGTAGGGTCAATTCAACACCAGCAGAGACGGAAAGTAGTACTAAGAAATTTGAAGCAAAATTTGGCGCAAGGGTTTGAGTTGTGAAATATAAGTACTTTTCATGCGCGTCATGGGTAATTTGTTATGTTCGTCTTAGTTAATGGTCCATATATCCAACGGGCAAAAATGAGAGATTTGACTCAATCACCTCCTAAAAAATCCCTTTTAATACTATTATACGACATACATTTCTGGGGGATCACTCCAAAAATTTCGCTAAAAGTGCATTCGGCTCCAATGTTTGCCTTAGTAGTCTATGTTCTTAGAGACCCGCGTATGTTCTTTGATGTAACGTAGTATAGTCTTACACTGTCAGTTGAGTTGTTATTGGTGGCTCTCACCACCTCAACATCCCACGTGTGTTCCCAAATAAGAGAGTAGTATATGCCTAAAATGATAGCCCCCATTGAGACACTGATCAAGTAGAGAATAACTGCCAGGATCCGCTTGTATTTCTGCCGCGCTTTGTCCTTTTCGTCAAGTTTGGTGAGCAAGTTGTCGCTGGGCTGACGCGGAGTGCCTCCTGCTCCAGCAGCGTTGTTCCGTCGAGCAGCACTCGTTTTAGTGGTCGACGCGACAACTGCAGCTCTGAAACAAAAACGGAAACGTATCGCTAAAAATGGGTGATCAAGGTGTATAGCTGACACTAACTCTTTCGTAATAAGTAAAAATAATGGTGAGTTCGGATTGTTCAAGTGGTTGTTGTTCGAAATTTCTATTGTTTTTTTTTAATGAAAAGAAAAAGGTTATAAAACCAGCAAAAAGTTCTTTTCGGAAAGTCACATTTATTAAATAACCCATTTCATTACTTACCGGTCTTTTATTTCCATTGTTTGCTAGATGTTCTCGGCAAAAAATCAATTAAAGTGAAGAAAAATTTGATATCTGCAAAAGATAAAACATGAATCAAGCTTCTCCCGAAGGTGATTAGCAGCTTCGAGTTAGACTCTTGAGGCTTGTTTTAATGACGGGACGTTCTAATTAGACGTCGTGACGGCAAAACAACTGACAAGAAGAGACGAATTCGTTTTCTTTCGCTCGGCACGGTGGGGGAGGGTATATAGAACCAGTAAGTGGAGGGGTGGGTGTTTGAGTGGAAAAATTTAATCCGTAGATAAAACTTCAAACAAAAGAACTTACGTGCCCACTGTTTTTAATTTGGTATGTTCTGTGCGCTCCATATCTTGAAACCTGAAGAGAATCAAAACTGATTCAATGTCCACGTTTTAATTTCCTGTTATCTTTTGTGCTCACCATTAAAACTAGCAAAGTAAAAACAGTTCAATAAAACGGGTATTGTTTAGCTAGCTATGGTCGTTTCCCCTGTCAAGCTTTGAGACTGTTAGAACATGGGACAATTTTCACCAGTATAGAAAAGACAAACGTGGATATTTTCACTAGAACAGAATAGGAAACCGAGCAGTATTGGACTGCGTTATGCAAGAAACGTTTTGTTGCTAGTACCATATGACAGGGGTATTCGGCCTTTACCTCATCCATGTTTCCCTATTGTTCTATCAGGGCTTTCTGCGTTTTAAAATAAATGGTTGAAAACAATAAACGTTTGCAGCCGGGCTGAAAAAACGTACCATGCAAGCAGGAAACGACTCGATGGTAAAATAATTGGGATCAAAAACGGGGTATAATTTGTGTGGGCTTTTGATGGTATTGTCGCCATCTGTGTTTGAGATGAAAAGGAAATGATATGTGGTATCATCTATCTATTATATATTTGATTGCGACTACCTATCTCCCCGTGCTTAAGTTAACTATGTCTCATGTTTAAGCTCTGAAACGAACGAAATTTTGCACGCTTAACCTGTTTCGTATATTGCAGTGCTTAAGAAACATTTCGGCGCAAGGCAGGGCGAGTAGCGGTAAGGCAGGGTAGTGCGCGCAGGGCAGGACGCGTAGGACAATCCAGGGCTGGTCGAGTAGGGGCAAGGAGGGTGAGGAGCGCATGGCAGCGCAAAGCCGGGCGCAGAAGGGAGTGCAAGGCAAGGTAGGGAAGCGCAAGGCAAGATAGGGCAGCTCAAGGCAAGGCCTGGAAGTGCAGGGCGAGGAAGGGTGGTGGAGCGAAAGGCAGGTCAGAACGAGGAGGAGCAGGGAGAGGAGGGGCAAGGCAGGGCAGGTCGAGGAGGCAGGGTAGGGCAGCGCAAGGCAAGGAAGGACGAGGAATGGCAAGATAGGGACGAGCGAGGAGGGGCAAGGCTTTAAACTTTGAATGGCTTCGTGAGCGGCACCAAACTTATGAATCACAATAATGAGTGGCTTTTTATTCATTCGTTGAATTGCTAGATTAGTGGTTTTATAGACATTTTGATTGTCCGGAAAATTTCATCGTTTCTTTTCTCGAATTGGGTTAACTTTAAATAAAAGCGACTAAAAAGTTGCTGAAAAGTGCAAATAAGATTGGAAATTTCATCCCATAATGCATCATTTTTGGCTTGGTTATTTCATTAAGTATGAAGTTACTTTCAATTATTTGTCCTGCTGATTTTTTTCTGGAAGAATGAATTTTTTTTCGCGCTCAATTTTGATTTTTCGCGGTTTGATTTTTTAAGTTCACTTCATTTCCTTTACGTTGAGGCAAATTTCACTATAGAACAGCAAAAATCAAAAGGCGAAAAACGTGAATGATTTTTAGCATCAAAAATGGACTTAAATTTTCTGAGTTTCCTGTGGAATTGAAGAAGTACCCATTGATTCAATTTTCTCTAAATGGGATAGCTTTACGCAAAAAGTGCCAATCGTAAACATTATTTTAAATTCATAGAGCTTCAACGTGATATGTTTTTATGTTCGAAACTCGAAAGTTGAACTATTTTGGACAATCCTTATTCTTTCACCTTTTTCTTCAATTTTTCCTGTCTGTTGGCTTGTAATTGGTATCTATACTTTTTTCACGCAATTAGCTTTGCTTGCAAATCGGTAAGAAGTTGAACTTGCTCAACTATGAAACCTAAACAACTTCGAGGATCCTTTTCGCTTGGTCTAGAGGTAACGCGGGCGTCTCTCTGCCATGAACTCTGGAAATCGAATCCTAGCCGAACCTTGTTTTTTGAGTGCATAAAATTGAATTGTATAAACCGAAAAAGTTGAACCTCTGAAAACGTCAGTATAGGTCTTAATTGGGGTTTGTATTGTAGTTCACTTAGAGGCTCCTTGCGTGATTTTTACTCGCCTAATTTTGGGAGATTTGAAAAAAAAAAAACGCGAGCGTCTGAGTTCCCGTCGAAGTGGCACACTTCTTGATTAATTTGTTGTATTCTCTAGTTGCAGTTGCGCTGCAATTATATGTTCAGTTTTTAAGTACAACTCAGTCTTGATATACTGTTTTTTTCAGGCTGAATTAAAATTAGTGGCTCGACACTAAAAGAATTGATTTGTTCTTAATTTAAATTTCAAATAATAAGGTAGACCAGGCGCGGATCTAGGATTTTCTCAAGGAGGGAGGCGGATTTTTAAAAAAGTGTCAAACATTTTGTCGACCTTTTTTTTTAGGTCGACCAAATTGATTTTCTGAGCTCTCCCAACACCTTAAAAAGACATTTTTTGGCCAAGTTTTTTCAGCTGCTGGCGCGCTCTACCCTCATAATTAGTATATCTTGGCACCTAAGGCGTCTTTAAAAAAATTTAAGGTCAGTCAGCCAAAAAAAATTGCGCAAAAAAATTCGTTAGTTGACATAATCGAGGCAAAAAGTTGAACAATTTTGAAGCGCTCTGTTTACATTAGGCATTCTGGTGCCTAATATAAAGACATATTTACGTCACACACTGGTACCGAAAGTTTATTTGACGTGTGCATTACTTACCTTGCTGCTCCTTTGAAGTCCAGTTTTGAGTTCTGCATTTCCAATGTGATAACGGAAAAAGTTATGGTCTTGATATTGATGTGCGTTTCCTAAAATGAGGATTGTGCTTTTTAGTAAAAGCGGAAGGTTTATCCTGATTTGAGCCTGCGGTTGTATTTCACTTCTTATTTTGCATGCTTAAATGGAAATGTGGGAGCGTCATTAACTTAGGGGGCTTAAGTGCTTCGTTATAGCCTCGTTACTCTAATTGGTTTTCGCCTCTTTTGCGCCTCAGATTCAATTAGTCCAATTGAACTTCGATTAGGAGATGGTAAAAGAAACCCGCAGAATGTTATCTGATAAATATAGATTGGTAAAAAGAGAAATGGCGATGGTCTTTGATATGTTGGCCGGGTTTCTTTTCCTTTGTTCTATTATATCAAAACATACTTTTATCAATATTTTGTATATATTTGATCGTTCGTGTGGTTTTAATCTTCATCCGTCGAGTTACAAAGGATAGAAAGGAATGCTTGCTCATTATGGAAATTTGGTTTCATTCAGAAGCAAACTGAGTGGGATGATTTCTAAAAAAGAAGATGAAAGTTTATTCATATCTGCTGAAAAGATATTAGTGGAATCTGCTGTCTTTCAGCTCAATTTATCTTTTTTTAAAAACATTCTAAATACCTATTTAGGGAAATAGACAAAATGCGAAGCTAAACTGTAGAAGGGTGTTTAGCATTAGTTATTTTCACAACCAGACACTTTGTTTCTATTTTTTTAAACGCTTTTTACGCTTGTGATTAGAAAGCGTTATCAAATCGGAATATAGATTTTTTTTCCAGGTTAATAACTTGTTTAACAAAATCACTTGTATCTTGGATCATAATAAATTCAAACTTCTATGTATTACCGGCCAATTTAGCCCGGAGGTAAGGGAGGTGAGGAATATGCCGGGGAAGGCAAAGGTCCTGGGTTGAAATCAGACCAGGAACTTTTTTTTCAAACGGTAAATATTCTGTTTCAAAGAAAAATTGTCGGCCAGTTATGTGTCTGCTTATCTGTTGTCGGCTTATTTGTCTCATCTTGGAATCGTTTGATTTTGGTTGCGCACATTTTTCAATGTTGCTATTAGCGTTTGAATTTTTCCTACAAATTGTAATTTTACTTAGCTTGACTTCGTGTTTTCTTCTTTGTTTTTTTTTCGGCTAAAAAATTCCTCGGCCCCAAATTATTTCGGCCTATTTTGTATCAGCTTAATGCCTTAATTTTGGGGCTTTTCAAGAGAAAAACATTTTTAACACTCCCCTCCGCACGTTTCAAGTTGGTTGTATGTTTACGAATCGGTTTGTTGAAATTTCTTTTTTTTTTCCGTTATGCAAAAATTATTTCCAAATGTTTCTATTGATTTTCAAAAAAATGTATCAATTTAAAGACAGACTACTACCCTCTGTGCCTAGAATTTTTTTTTTATGTGACCCCTCTGTGTACAGCCCTCTGACTTTTCTCGAAAACTACTCTACCAAATCTTATATTATGTGTTCAATGGAGATAGTGGGTAGTAGGCAGCTCCTCTGTATGAGTGAACGTTTTCCTATGTGTGAACGTTTTCAAACTTTTTGAATGTTTTTGAAAACTACGTTGCCATATCTGAGATTTTGGTTTCAATTCAAAGAACGGGTTGCGAGAAGCTTATTTGTTTCTGCGACTACCACCAAATTTTTCTGACACTAAAAGTTGTGACCCTCAGAAACGTTTGATTTGATCGTCTGTTTTTTGAAAGTTTTTGAGATTTAAATCGAAATTACAAGTTGCGTGGATCCCATCTGCATAAGTGGCTATGAACTCTTTTTTCACAGAAAGCCATGATTCTCGGAAATGTCAAAGATTTCATTTGTTGACCGTTTTTTGAACTTTTTCCGCCAACTATCCTTCCGAATCTGATATCCTTGGTTTAATCGAAACAACAGTTTGTTCAAAGTCTGTTCCGAGAATCTCCTTTAATTAAGCGGCCACAACCTGCTGTTTACAAAAAAAATTTCTGGATAATTGAAAGTCTTTTAACCGTTTTTTAAAAATTTTTTGAAGTCTCTAAATTTACACAATCAATTCTGACATTAAAAAAATCAATGGAAAAAACCGGTTGCGATAATTTTTTCTGCAGAAGGGATGACTCCTTTTTTGTAGGAGAAATGTTTTCCAATTGTTTTCCAATTTTTTTAATCCTCTCACTTATTCTTACTTAGAAGCAACAAAGTTTTGGGAGAAGTCCATATTTTGAATCATTGTTTTTCGTGCAGGCGTGATTCGATTGGTATTTGAAGCAAGAATTTAATACCAAGAGTTTGGTATTTTATCCCAATATAGTGTGAGTGAAGCCGGCCAGCCGAGCTAAAAATCGTTTATGCTGTAAAAAAAATTGATAAGAGCACTAGTTTTAGAAGCTTCACATAGCGCTTTTCCGATGCTAAAACTTCAACATTTTTATTTTTGAAGTCCTGTTTGTTGAAAACAGGTATTATGAAAATGTATGGAATCGGGTTTTTAATTTATTTTTTTTGACACGCTTTGGAAATTTTTTTCTATTTTAAAAAATTTAATTTTTCTCAAAAACTGTTCTAATTTTCAAAAAAGTTGAAACCAATGGGAAGTCCGTCCACTCCTCTGTGTGTCTGCATACTCCCCTAATCTCTTTGTACCTTGCCCCACTTCATACAGCCTTCGAAAAAGTCTGGGGGAGTTTTTGACCCATATTTTTGGATTTTTCTACATTTTCTCGATAACTACCGTCTCAAATCTGAGATTTTGGTTTCAATGGATAGAACAGGTTGTGGGAAGTTCCCCTGCATTAGCGGCTACGCCCAACGTTTTTTACACAAAGTTATGGCCCTTAAAAAAGTCAGTTTTTCGATTTTTGACTTTTCTCGAAAACACCCTCCCACATCTGAGATTTTAGTTTCAATCGAAAGGACGGGTTGTGGGTAGCTCCTCTGTACAAGCGGTTATGCCCAAATTTTTCACACAAAAGTTATGACCCTCGGAAAAGTCAAATTCACGACTTTTTGACCGTGTTTTGAATTTTTTCGACTTCTCATAAACTACTGTCCCAAATCTGAGGTTTTGGTTTCAATGAGTAGAACCGGTTGTGGGAAGCTTCTCTGCATAAATGATTACGCCTAAGTTTTTTTATACACAAAAAGTTATGACCCTCGGAAAAGTCAAAATATTGATTTTTGAAGTAGATGATGATTTTAACAGATTTTGAAGTCATTAATTTGGGATTTATTTTTCTTTGCTATAGGTCTGTTTATGAAATTACCCTTGTCCTTCCGCATCATTACAAAAAATTCAAAAGTTATCAAACAGGTATTTCTAGCTTTAACTGGCCCCTAGTTGAAAATAGAATTGTTTTTACTTGTGTTATTCAGCTTGTACAGATAATTGTAGACAGTCATAGCCATTGCGTATGATCTACTTTTAGTATTTCTTACCATGCGCTATAAAATGACATAAATTTGATTTAAAAAGTTAACCGTTGTCATAACCTTTTATACAACCGGCAGTTCGTGTAAGTTTTATTGGGTCTTATGCACTAAACGGCCCAAAATCATTGTTTCTACATCTCTTGAACTGAAATTAATGTGGTTGAATTTGATTGGCTAAATAGCCAATCAAGTTCCATCGACATTTTCTGTCATTTCAATTGAAATAATTCTGCCATGTCAAGCAGATAAAAATATTAGCCGAAATGATAAAAAAAAATCTTAAAAAAAAATTTCTTAAAAATCTTAAAAAATCTTTTAAAAAAAATTTATTTTAACAAAGTTCCACCTTTTCGGAAAATTCGGCTAAAATTTTTATCTGCTGGAAAGTTTGATCGGAATGCATAACCGTGTAACTTGAATTTTTTGGCTTAAATTACCCAATCAAATTCGATCGCATAATTTCCAGCTTACGATGTAGAAAATTTAGTGCATAAGACCCGTTTTATTTACACTCGGCGATATAAAAGTGTTTGTTTTTCTCTGTTCTTGTGGAGCAGTGGTAAAGATACAGCCAGCGGAGTGCAGCCAGTATTTAGACAGCCGCGTATTCATACTTGTCAGTATTTAGACAAATACTGTATGAACCAATCAGAATCGAGAAAAGACATAAATAATCCAAAATAAATAATAATTATTTATTAATTTCTTCTTTGTCTCGATTCTGATTGGCTGGAACAGTATTTGTCTAAATACTGACCAGTCTGAATACGCGGTTGTCTAAATACTGATATGTAACCACAGCCAGCAATCTTAAGATTGTGGGCTCGAAATTGGGTGTATGCTACGATTTTCAACTTAATTAAGGCATAATAGTTATCAGCCTGTTGAGACCTTGCACTGCTCAGCTACGAAATTACTTGCTTTACTACTAACTGTTAATTGCAGTATGCGTATAAGCTCAATATGTCTCACAATTTAATATCTGCGGCAAAGGCGGATCTAGGTTTTTTCCAAGGAGCGGATTTTCAATTTACTTTCGAAATTTTTGTCTACCTTTTGCATCAGTAATTATTCCTAAAAGTTATCAAACAGGTGCATCCAGTTATAGCCAGGCCTTTAGTTTTTATATGACTTGAAGGAAATGAAAAAATGTCAATTAAACTTTTATATACAAACAACAAAACGCATTTTTGTTTCGAATAATTTTGTGCTTTTTCAACTGATTTTTGATGAGTGATGATGTTGTCCCTCCTTTTCTTTTTATCTTCTTTTCTTCTCAACTCAATTTGCATGTCTTCTTGGTGATGATTCCTTCAGGGGTTATATGGCCCGTTAGTTTGTACCCTGTGAATATTTCTGATGAATCCTGTTTTTATTATACTATTAAACAATTCAAGAATATATTGGAAGAAATGATAGGAGTTTGATTGATCAATTTTTAGACGCAAGGAATATCAATAAAAATTTAAATTTAAAAGCATTGTCGGTTACTGCGCTAGGAATACAGAAAATTTCGAACATACTTTTCTAGGTGAAGCAATTTGAAAAGTCGGTGAAAAAAATGAAGTTGTTTTTCTGATGGTCACCACCATTGCACACGGGGAGGAACTTTGTATTCGGGTGTATTAGTTTTTTCTTTTTTTTTTACTGGCGAAGTCAGGATAACTAAAGTCGGTCGAGAAACTCACCCAACTTTTTAGTTTTTTCCATCCTTGTTGAGTGACGTGGTCGGATTAAGGCGAGTTTTCGAAAGAGCTAGATCTTTGAGCAAACCTTTTGGTTCAAAATTTGCCTGAAACGAGTAAAAAGGACAGTTGGAACAGGAAGGGGCTCGCTCTGATACGAGCAGTCTTAGTTGTTTTGAAATGCGTTCATAATCGCTTTTCAGTGATGAGTTTTCATTTCCTTTCCAACTGACTAGTGGCATCGCATAGGGTACTAGAATTCTCCCTGTAAACAACTGACCCACAATTTTTCAAAGTTAAGCCTAAAGCAAAGATTAGATTTAGATTTCGGTTGTTTCAACTAAGTAAAAGAAGTCGAGCTTTTTATTTAGGCTAAAAATTCTTAGGCTGTCCTTTTCATACCTTTTTGAAATCTGAAAGTGGATGTGAGCGCACTACCAGCTTGCCAGCGCTGCGCAGCGATAACCGCCTGATGTTTTGGTAAATACAGTGCTGATTTAAATTAACCGGACAAAACGACCTAAACTTGAAATTTAAAACGCGTTTTGGATCTTGTTAACTATTTAGCGGATTTTTAGCAAAATTTTAGCAGAATTAAAATGGTGTAATTGGTTTAGCGAAATTCGAGTCCAAAATTCTACCTCAAAAGTGGGTCATTTTGGCTTTTCTTAGTTTATCAAGATTTACGCCAAAAGTACCCAGTCGATCTCAGACATAGTTATATCAAAGTGAGCCCCTTACGTAGCCCTACAAACTTTAAGAAGGGTATATTCTTCAAAACATTGTATAAGTTAACTTATTTTTGTTTGATTGAATTGGACAGTATTAAACTCATGATTAAGAGTCGATGAACGCAGCTCAGACTCTTATAAAGGTCGCGATAATTTTTTTCGTTTTTTTTTTCAGGACAAGACTTAAAATTTGTTCAGGCTCAAAATTACTTTTCGCGGTTTGAATTTTGATTCCTTTCGAAGTTCAATTCATTTCCTTTGTCAAAAGAAATGCAAACTCCACTATCGAACAGCGAAAGTGCTAAGGTCGCAAAAAACTTGATCAACTTCTAGTTTCGAAAGTAAAGTTTATCGAATTTCTCAGTGTAATTGACCCAATTTTCTCATAGGGTTTATTTTATCAAAAAAGTATCAATCATAAATTTTGCGGGAAATTCAAAGAGCTTTTAGGTTATCTTTTTTTTGAAATTCAAAAATTTAGATTTTCCGATAATTGAGTCCGTAATCTGTTTATTTAGTTCATTGACTCTTTTCCAATTGTCTGTTGGCTATGTTTTCTTTGAGCGGCTAATATTAACCTTCCAATATTCGGTCCCTACATCATAAGGGATTGCACTATCTTAAAGTACTCGAGCCTTGGGTATCTGATAGTCTTCGCTTCAATTGGCTGTGTATCGTAATAACTCGAGTTAACCCAATAAAAGCCGCTCAAAATGCCCTTCATTTCTTAGACCACACGAAACAAATTAACTCAATTATTGAGAGCCTTGACTTTCAGTTGGACCAACCTCAACTTGACTTTGTCTATTAAATCGACACATGTCAATATAAGATAGCTAGAATGTTATCAAATCTGTCGATTTGTGTCAATCAGATCAGCTCAGATGTTTCCAAGTCTTTGAATAAGAGCTGTTGAGGCTACTGATGTGTTAGTTGCTAAATTCGCAGATTTCACTTCTCTTTTCCTTTTTACGCTTGAGCTTAATCAGATCAATCAGCAGGCACAAAAGCGTTTCACAGGATTACCTGTCTTCAATTAGTCTAGTCAAAATCAATGACGTTCAGTCTTTTTATTGCTTTTAGATACCCTTTTTTCTGTTTGAGGGGATGGGAACTGGCGATGGTTTTTTTCGTGTCGATATGCTAGCTGAACATCAATAATTCATTGGAAATGTTTTTTTCTTATTAACGAGCGCTTGGAATTTGTGGTATACCTTGATACGCTCAATGTATTAAGATGAGCTAGCTTGCTTTCTTAAAGGAAATAATGGCTTTATTTGATGCGTTCTTTTCGATTCGATGCTTTTTATAAGCTATTCAATGAACGACGAGCCATCAAATGCATATGATTGTTAGTTGCTCTTCAATTATTTCCTTTCTTGCAAAACTGGGAAATTACTTAGTTTTTTGTCAATGTCTGTTATTTATTCGGTTACTTCGATTTCCTGTCCTGATTTTCAGATTACCAGAGAATGTAGCTTAAAATAGAGACAGTATGTTGCACACCTGAGACGAATGAGAAGATAGATTAGAACTTAAGTTAGCGTGCGAATCGACGAATGCCATGTGTCCAAATTGGCTTCAATTATAGGAGTGCTTTCACAATATATACATCATCCTAGGTTCAATATCACGGTAAGTTAAATTCAAATTATGAACGTGATTCAGCTTAGCTTTTTAATTGCCCATAATTGCATTTGGTAATAAGACCGTTTTATTGCATAAGTAAATGAATAAACAATATTGCAGTCAACAGTTTTGTATATCGGATTTGAGCCAAAATCAAATAAATAGAACATAATTTGTAATCCGGATAATTTCTGATGATAAGTTGACTTCTGCTATTGCAAGACCAGTTGTTTAGTTACGAAGTTTCTATGTTGGCAAATATAAATGCTCTGAAGTTAATTCAATGTTTATTTTTCTTTTATGGTTTGGTACGAAGTACTGTGCCACCTTTTAAACTCCTAGCTTTAAATTTTTCTGGTGGACTTGATTACAATAGATTATTTACTTTCCTTTATTCTGTTTGTACAAAATTTAAATTAATTTATGAAGATCTTGTGATGTTTTTTATCCTTGCGATAAACAAGGGTATTGCAATCGGGTACTAGATTTTTCCCCGTAAAGAAATTTGTTCACAGGTTGATCTCCCACTTCAAGATCTCCGTTTTCAGCACGTTTAACACCTAGAGTTACTGTGACTAGAGTTAATGCATTACTTGATCTTTTGGTAAAAAATTTCGGATGTGAAATTGTTTTTTTTTTGTATTTTTAATTGATTTCGGCCCAATTTTTGCGGTCTTATTTGCCGGGTGTTTTTTTTAGAAACTTGTATTCAATTAATTGTTTAATTCATTCAAATAACGTTACACCCTCAAAGGGTTTTCATACTCTTTTTTTGAACACGCTGTTTTATATACGCTAAAACTTACAGTTTCAAAATAAAAAACTTTGAAGCGTTTTTGTTTGATTTCTTTCATTTATTTTTAGTTTATTTTTGAATGCATGCTGTCTGATTTTTTTTTGTTCTGATGGTGTCTGTGGTTAGTTTAAATTAACCTGGTGTGAAAAAATATTTGAGCACTTTCTTTTCAAATCCTTTCAAGGTTATGAGCCTTAAATATATTTCAAATCCATTCCAAACGATGATCCATACAAATTTTTCTCGATGATCCATACAAATTTATTAGTCGCAAATCAAATGTATAATGTGGTTGTTTCTGGTAATAGAAACTTGCTTCAGCTACCTAATCGTTGCGTATTGGCTTCATATTTGACAACGTTGATGTTATTGGGTTGTTTTTATATGCTTTTTAGAGTTTTTCAAATAATTTTTGCTAACTCTTTTTGGAGTATTTTTGTTTTCAAAACTTTTCAAGTGTCAATGTTTTTTGTTTCGTTACCGGATATCCGGCAAAGTGTCTTGGTGAGTTTTGGGACTTTCAGATTTTCATTTGGGGAGCGAAACCTCTCTTTTTTCTTATCCTTTCCATCTAATAGTTTTCAAAAAACTGAATGGAGTTTGTGTAGCATGTATACTTTGTTTTTGGCAACTGAGTTCTATAAGAATTGCGAAAATTTTCCTGAGTTTTCAGCAGACGATTTCCAAATAGTTCATTTTATTGTTTGTTTTTTCGTACGCGCCAGATTATCTTTCGAAGTTCGTCATCTAGTTTGGTATCGAAATTCTGAATTTTGTTTTCAAATTTTTTATTGACTCAATGGCTTGAGTTTAATTTTTTGGCCGCTTACTTAATTTTCTGGCCGCTCTTTTTGTGTGGCTTTGCAAGTGGTGTGTCTAAAAAGTGTCAAACGTAAAAGTTTCAAGAAATTCAAAGACCTTAAAAATACATAGTTTTTTAGTTTTTATGCACAAGCGAGCTTTAAACGAGCGTAGTGTACTAATACGTGTTTCTTTTTTTCCAAACTAAGTTGCAAATGTATGTTGGTGCCTATTTTGGGGCATCTCTACGGCTTTTTGGTAGCTTGTGCTCTGACATTCGATTAGTAATAATTTATTAGTTGATGCTTTTTTGATTCATCAAATGAACTGAAAAAAGTGGCTTCAAACAACAGTACAATATTAAAAACTCCATTCCAGAAATTTTACTACATACAACATTTTCCGAAATGCATAATTTTTACAAAAATTTGTTACATGCAAAGTTGGCGTTGGATGCCTTTAGTTTTCAATTTTCAAATTATTACATGCAAAATTTGTGTCTATTTTTGTTTGGTGTAATTTTTGCAACATATCATGGACATTTTTGTTCCGGTCATTGAAAATGGGGAGGAACAATAAATTTCCATGATATTTATTGTTCCTCCCCATCCAAAACGAAAACTTTGTTTTCGTTTTTTTTTCTTCAACTTTTTGTTTCCACGAAAAATCAGGTGCAACAAATAATCATCGGACGACTGGGTCGAGTGATATATCATATCAAAGCCCTTTCAGTCGTAATTCGAACGACATTTAGTATTTTTCAAACAATTTCCCGGGTTTCAAAAAAAATCGGTTTGAAATTTTTTGAGTTTTCGTCTCATTTCGAGCGTGTGAGAAGGCTTACATTAACTTGTTTACGCCTAATTTAAGCCTTGAAAATTAATTTTTATTCAGTAAAGTTAGATTTCAGGAATTTTTAGTGCCATCTTAGGAATCAAAAACTTCGAACATTGGAAAAATTTCTGCGAAAAATTATGATAAATGTTTGAAAATTTATTGAAAGGTTTTTCTGGTAATTTTTTTTAGAAAAACTGTTTTTCAATTCGTCAGTTTTCCTGTGACTGTAGAATATCCTAAATTCTAGTTTATCGTTTAGATCCTTTTTATCACACCATGCAGAAAAAACTACACTAATTTGAAAAAATTCGTTTCATTTTTTTAAGAATATGGTCGAAACATTCTGTGCTAATTGCACAGTACACGGCTATCCTTGTTAGCATATAAAATTGCTTGGTCGAAGGCTAGAGTTATGCTTTATGCTAACGCAGACGCGGGGACGTGCTAATGCAAATCTCCTGGTCTTTGGTTCGAATCCGCCACAGCAAACATTTTAATTTTCATGGATTGTTCTTAACATTTCTTTTATTTATTTTTCACAGCTAATTTTTGTCATTTTCTCGCTTGTGATGGCGAAGCGGAGCATCGCTTCTGTGTTTTTGTTTAAAATTGCTTCAAATTTTAAGTCTTTTTTCAGTATTTTTCAGCTCATTGACGCCTTTCCAACTCTGTTTGTTTTGTTATGATTCAGATAAAAGAAATTAGTCAGTATGCTGTGTCACCTACTCGGTCTGTGATCTGAATTATCGACTTGGATTTGACTTAAATTACTTAATAACGACGAAAATTTGAATGTATTTACGTAGGAGTTACGCTCTCATTACGTAATTATTCGTGACGAGAACGTGAAGGAAAATGGTCAGTAACTACAGCACACTGGCACCCGCTCCCGCGGTGCGACTGGAGAACGAGGCAGCGTGTCTGACGGAGAACAGAAACTACACCAGTCTCTACAGACAGGACTACGGGGGTGTGCACATCACATTCGCACTCAATGCTGGACTCACGATACTCATCGTCCTTCTGTTCTCATTCATGCGAAAAGGTAGACAGGTCATAATTTATTGCTTAGGATAATTGTTCCGGATTATTGGGATGCAATATAATTGAGACTGTCGAATAATGATTCTTGTTTGTGATTCAGTTATACCCGAGCAAATATGAAAAGGTTCCGAAGACGAATTGAAAAGGAACTTAGGCTTCAGAAGTGTTTTGTTTTTGCGCGAAATCAGCTGCAACATAGATTTTTTGTACAGTTTTAAGTGATATATCGCGCTTAAATCAATTTAGAGTGAAGTTATCTTAGTCTTCACGGCTGCAGTGAGTTATTCATGCCAGCAAGCTCTTAACAAACAGATTTTAAAGGTATTTCGTCGTAAATTATACTGGTAAGTGCCTCCAGTAATCCACCAAAATTGAAAGGTCAGAAAAAGCATTCTTTTGTCAAAATTACAAACGAAGAAAACAGTTCTTGAAATTTGTTTTACCGCCTTTTAAATCTACTGTGCTACTGGCTACAATTGTTTCCTTTCTTTTATTATTTTTAAGTCCTATATAATGTATGGGTCTTTACTGCTTGCAATTTTAGTTAAAATAGACTTTAGCATTTTTCTACTGGCATTAACGATATCATATGGCCCCTTAGAACCGATAAAAACAACGAAGAATTTTTTCTAAGTTTACATTGTCAATCGATACGTCTTTTGATTACTTTCATTCATGGTCTCTGAAGCATTCAGCTGCCCCGATGGAGTGTTTGCATCGTTGTTTGACAGATTTACCGCTCTGCGTTTCACGATGGGGAATTTATGATACTAAAAGTCTAACCAAGCAATTTGTCGGTAAATGACGTTCAAGTTTTTATTCAAACCTGGTATCTCAATATCCTATGCGGCTGAATAAGCTTTAAAACGTGAAAAAATTAACCTGAAGAGTTGAAAAAGTTTTTTTTTATCTGTAATTGAAATAACTTTTTAGACTCTTTTAGAAAATGACCCGTTGGCAGGTTTGCTTAATTGTATGTTTTATTTGACGTTGAAACTCACTCATTAGCTCTAAAAATCGGAGCTTCGCAAAGTTCATTTGTTGGTTTTGTGATGAAGGTTTTTGCTTCTGCGAATTTTTCATAAAATTTAGGAATCGGGGGATACGCGAGATTAGGAGTCACGATGGTCCGTTCTGGACTCCCAAACATTATGACCGCGACTGCAAATCGAATCAGCGAAGCTGGCCAGAAGATCAGACATTCTAGAATTGTGAGTCAGAATGTGGCCAACTCTTCTTACGAAGTGAACGGGGGTGGATCAGAGTACAACGAAAAGACCTCGCTTCCGAGAAGCCGATTGAAAGGCAAGTCTGAAAGCTAATTTTTGTTGTAAACTTAGAATATTCTCTCATGAGTGCACAATACGTGGAGTTTTGTAGCTGTAAGTGTTAAACGAAAAATAAAAGCTGAAGCGCGAAGCGCGTTTGAATTAAGTTTTCTGTTTTATGCATTCAAGCAAAGAATCCTTTAGTTTTATTCGCGAAGAAATAGTTGTTTTTTTTTTGCGAAGGGGTTGAGTATCCAGAAAAAGCCAATCTGACGTCAAGGCATTTTTACTAAACTTTTAGTAGAGAGATAAAGATCATTCACTGATATCAAATGCACAAGCGGATTTATGCAAAGGGGAATTCCTACTTTGAAATTTGATGCTCTCGTCACTCAAATTGTCCCTTTTTGGATCAAAAATTTGCCTGCGAACAACCATATACACTAACTTTTGGTTGGAAGGCATGTAACATATGCTCCGAAGCGAAAAGACCCCAAAAACTGCATTTTGACACTTTTTCAAAAATCTACTTGTTCATGTTTTTAAAAACACCCTCCGTTCTCTCTGCTAAACTCATAGAGCAGCCGTTGCATATCAGCGTAAGTGCATATCATTAATTTATTAATGAAATATCTCGTATATTTTAGACAGCGCGCGGATAAGCGTCTCTAATCTACGGCGAAGTACGATAATACCAGGTGTCGAGGACGGAGACGAGTTTGCCACGCTCCCAATCTCCGAAGTGTTAGATATGGGCGACATCCAGCTGGATGCAGATCTGATCGCCACGACCAACAATAACAATAATAGTTTTGACGTCATAGACAGAAATGGAGGTAGTCGGAGGATAGCAAATGGAGATCAAGTGGACGGGACATCATCCAATGGACTGACAATAACTGCATCGACTTCAAACTCGTCACCGAATAGTGGAGGAAAATTGATTAACATAGGTAAGCAGGACAGGCATAAAAATGGCAGTGGAAACACTCAATTTGTTTTCTCATTTTTCAGTCATTACCCTTGCCATAAGCTGGTGAATTGCAATCGGGTACTGGACTTTTTACCCGTAAATAACTTTCACTGAATGGAAACTAGAAATGGCCAATTTAGGTTCGGTTCATAATCAATTTAATTTTTTTCGTCTCTGGCACACATGGTCTGGAGGTAACGAATACGCCTCGGACGGCAAAGGTCCTGAGTTCAATCTGACAGGACTGATGCAATTTACATTTTAGTTGCTTTAAGTGTTTCGATTTGCTTCTGCTGTTTGTATTTTTACTAACCTTGACTTCATATGTATTGTTAATGAAAAAAAATTTATTGCGACCACTTGGTTTTGGTTTAGTCTTTATCAGCTTAGTGGCCTAATTTTGACGCGTTTCAATATAAGCGTACTTTTAATGCCCACCTCTGCTACTAGTAGAAATTATAGTTCAAGTTTTTCATGACAACAATTTTTTTCTCCTTTTTTCGGCTTGATCGGTTTTGGCCTATATAATATCGGCCTAATAGTTCATATTGCGTCTCAAAATTTTTTTTGCGAATTTATATATTGAATTTGAGGCCGAACAAATATTTTTTTATTAGTCTATTTGTTTCTTTTTCGGCTTAATGGTCTATAATTATATCGGCTAAGTGGCATCATTTCGTTTCACTTGACGAGCAAATAAAGTTTTGTGTATGTGTGTGTTTTGAGGGTGAGTTGGACTTGTTGACTTTTTTCGGCCTGAAAGTTACTGCTGAAGTATTTTCGGCTTTGTTACCGCCTGATTGAATTTTTCCGTTGCTGATTTCACATTCTATTTTCTTGGCATTTTTTGTTTGAAAATTAGCATTAATCATTTTAATTTTTGACATTTTGAATTTTTTTCCCCGTTTTGCGGCTTTCTTGTTTCTTATCGCTAGTGGTGCAAAGCACAGCTTCGCCCCTTGTGTAAAAGTTTCATTTTGCTGTCAATTTTCGAAAGTATTCAATGTTTTGTTTTCTGAACTGTTTTATATAAATTCATTTGCGAGGCCAACTGATTTGTAAACGTGAACTACATTTTTCCATTCAGGAACTTCTGTTTCATCTTACAGCTTTACGGTAGCAGATATAGGGGTTGGGTGGGTGGTCGTGGATGCCTATCCTATCAAGGATTCGACCCAAAGGTTCCCACTTTGGTACTATTTGAAGACATCAATTTTTTGCCCTAAAATTGTTCTAAAGGCACCATGGAGCGCAAAATAATGAGGTGGAGCGCACGCCAACAAAACGCGATTTTTGGTTAAAATTTTCCATAAAGTGTCTTAAGTGCCTTTTTGGCCATTTTTTTCAAAATTTCGCCTACGGAGCAGAAAATTTGGTCAGAATAGGGGCTTCATACTGATTTCTGAGAGCTCAGAAAATCAATTTGGTCACCGAAAAAAGTCGACAATGATTTGATTTAAAAAAAAATTCTCCTCAAAAATTTGAAAGTCTCCTGCTGATTTCCCTTGAAGTTCTTTTTTCAGGAGATGTGGAAACATCGATTTTTAGAACCACATTTTTCTTAGCAGCTCAACATGCGCCTACCAAATGTTTTCGGCTTAGTTGCTTCTCGTTAAATGACTCTGAAAGCTTGGGGATTGTGTTGTGGATACGATTTTTCGACTGTTTTTTGACTTTGTGGCTTTCGAATTATTTTCTATGTCTTTGAACAAGTTTTTTCTTCAAAATGAGAGTTTCAGGATCAGACAAAACAGAACTGGAAAAGCGAAGAGTGCGGATTTTGGACGAGGACGAGCGGAATCTTTTCTCCTGGATCAAGTTGACCCTAACTCTAAACATCTCGGACTTCGGCCACAAGGTCAACCAGGACTGTGTACAGTATCTCCACTTTCAGAGACACGTGATCGGATTCATGTTGCTGAATACTATTATATGCATGCTAGTGCTGCTACCGATCAATGTTGTGGGAGGCAATCAGTTCTCAAACAACACCAAGAGGTATTAGCTATGCTACTGGCACTATTAGTTTGCTTATCCTACTCACATTTTTACCACCTGTGTATTTTTTCTTGCGGCTCTCGCTGGCTGTTTGATTTAACTCATTAATCATTTTTCGTAACTTAGTTTTTGATAAAAAATTTTCGCTGTTTTACTTCAAGTTGCTTTGTTTCCTTGGAGAAAATGAAATTTCCTCGTTTTATTTTTTCTAGTTTCGGGCGTCTCACGCTGAATAACCTGGAGCCAGATAGCAACCTGTTAGTGGTCCATAGTATCTACGCATTCGCAATGTGTATTTTCATTCTTGTGATCATGGATCGGTTCGAGAAGAAGTATGTGCATGAGGACCCCTCCATGCAAACAACAGTCCTCGTCAAAAATTTCCCAATCCGAAGGTTTGATAATATTGCAAAAATCAAGTTACTCGAAAATTGAAGACAAAATTAAGTTAATACAGTTTCTCATGCGGCAAATGTTTCGTTGTAGCATTGTTTTTTCTATGTAGTAAATATCTTGAGAAAACTTTTTGCGATGATTGGGCTCAGTTTAAAATCGACAATTTGGCTTATTTGCGTAAATTGGTTGAAAATATTCTTTGAAAATGAAGCATGGGTTTAACGAATCACGGTTTTTTATAATATGTATACATATTTTTTTAAAATCTTAACAGATACTTTCATTGTTTATATATCAATTGCTTAATTATCAGTGATGCCGGTAGACATGTTAGAGCGTATTGAGTAGACTTATCTTACAGTCCCTTTTTTCGAAAACATCTATTTCATTTCTTAAGGGCATTATTCGAATCGGGAATCAAAGGAAAGCCACACTTACTACTGTCGAGGCTGGAGACGTACTTCACTCGCGTGCTAAAGATACTGCCTTCCAATTTCCAAATCTACCTCACCTTTGACGTAAGCGACCTTGAAAAGTTAGTCAAAAGGTACTATAAGTACACAGAGTGTATAGATTACGTAATGCGTAAAAATGAGAAAGCCCGTCTATCTAAACGAGAGCAACAGCTGGATGCGAAAGAACAAGTTGAACTTAATAGTCTACCGAGAAGTAAGCCAGAGGAGTCACGTGATATTATATCATTTGATGACGTAATGATTACGGTGGAGAATCAAGAGGTAGGGGCTGATGCAGAGGAAGTGGTAGGAGCTAATGGTGACGAGGAGTCACCGAGTCCCTCGGAAGTTGTGGAAAAGAGTTACGTGATGGACTCGAGGGAATTTGCAGCGAGGCAAAACTCATCATCGAAGCGTAAGTTAAAAAATATGTGGAGACTTTTAACACCTTAATCATGTCATAGACATGAAAAAGCTTCTATCTTTGCTTTAAAATGAGCATTAATTTATCTCTCAACTGTACACCAAAGCTCTAATGACCTTGCACTGTGTCTTATTAACAAAATCAATGCTGCTCATCGTTGCGTACATTGGGGTTCCGATATGAATTTCTGTATTCCAGAGATAAGAATGGAAAATCTGCATACTGAATTGAGGCACCTCTTTATTTCAGGGCTGAAGTGGCGCGGCCATGAAAAGGATTACATAAGTTTGTATATTTTAACTCAACTGCAACTCAGTTACACTATGCTGACATTCATTCCCAACTATAAACTCAAGTCACCATAAAATCAGCCAAATGTCAACTGAAAAGAGATGGATCTACCAAACTGTAGGATCTCCATAATTTTAACCGAGAATTTTGAACCGGTTTTTAAAATTCCCCAAAATCCCCTCACTTGACATCCTGCCAAATAGTATCGGAGGTTTTGCCGGCCTTGAAGTTCTGACGAACCCAGTTTGGCCAAACTGAACAATGAACCCAGTTTGGCCAAACTTTATGAGAATAATTGCACTGCAGTTTTCGGGCCTCTTTAAGATGTTGTAATCGAATCTTTCTGCAGAGAGAGGTGGTGCAAGCTTTCCGAAAATGCATCCGGCTATATAAGCAAGTGTTTGCTAAAAGTATGCTCTATTTTTCTATGATCCTCCTATTTGATAGATCCATAAACAACTGATCAATGCATATTGTACTCATATTCGCCGACAGTCCAAGATGATAAAAAGCATGACAATAATTGATAACTTGCTTGTGTGTGTAATGTAATGACCATGAAATGAGCAATGCACCTAGAAGCATTTTCTCTAGGAGTTCATCAGAAATGCATTTGGCTGATCATATGACTGCGGTTATGGGTTATATAAAATCGGTGATGGCAACTATATTGATGATTGAAAATTTCGCGAACTATTTAGAAGCTACTACCGGTAACTTCTGTTTCAGTTTCATTGGAACTAATCAAGAATGTTCCGAGCTCTAATTGGACTGCAATTTTTGTTTGAAGATCTTTGTTTGATGGTACCTTCTATAACTTTAACTAACCTTGAAAAATTGAGGAGAGTAGCCTTTGATTCCCTTCTGATCTGTTTTAATTATCGACTATGCACGCTAATTTTTTTCTTGATAATAATGGAATTATCAAATGTTCGGCTTTTAACAAAGGTGCATCGTAGATAGTTCGGTACACGTTTACTTCGATTTCATAGCAAAGTCCGAACTCTGGAAAAAGTTTCATTAATTATTTTTTTGCCTTAAATATATTTTTTAAAAGTTTTTCTTGCCTAGGTTAATAAACTCACCCTAAAGTTTTGTTAAGAATTGGCCTGGCGTTATTCTTTTCTGTCTACTGCCTGATTTGCATCGTAACTGCCTGACTGTAACTTAAATTGTTCAGATCTTCAACCAGTTTCAAACTATCTCAGCGATGACATCACCACGCTAGGCTCTGACGTCATCACGGACGCAGACGTCAAAATCGACAATCACTCTCAGCCGCGAGTTCACATAAACTGCGACGAACCCTCGACCTCGAAAGCCAACTGCACGTATAACGGCAGAAGTTCTGCTCAGTCGCCCAAAATAGCGATCAAAAAGGCCTCAATGAAGATAAGAGAGAGCGTACATTTGAATAATTTGAATCTAAAGTTCAACAAATGCTGTGCAGGTTTTCTGTGCCCATTTTGCAGCGAGACTAGAAATGCGTTCGAGTATTACACGGAGAAGAGAGAAGAGGTGGTCAAAAAGATTGTTAAGTTGATCCAAACGCGCCCATTTGAACAGAGGACTCTGCCGATGTTCTTTCTCACTTTACCTTCAAAAAAGGTGAGATGAACCTACTCAATTTTTTCTATGTACATTTAACTGCACATTTTAGATGCAAGCGGGACAGTTCAGTGCAAAGTTTGTGTAGATTAAACAGCATATCGAACAAAATTCGCTGTTTTACAACTCATTCTTTGCTGCATAATATCCAAGCCGCAATCTAACTTCTGATTTGTGATTTAGGTGGCGGACACGATCTGCAACTTTTTGCCTTATGAGCAGACTCTACACACACATCAGTGGGAGGTCACAATGGCGCCCAATGTGGATGACGTCATCTGGGAGAACCTCTCCCTCTCCACTGTCAGCAAACGAGTCAGGTATGTAAAATAAAGAATAGAACAATTAACTGGTTTTGTGCTGTTTTCCCAGAGCTCTTAATCACAGCTAATCAAAGCTAAAGTTTTCAGCAAAACTTTTTGAAAAAAGAAGTTTTGAGTAAATGATCGGGATTGGGAAGAAAGTAATAAAGAACCTCGACAAATGGTTTGCAATAACTTAAATAAAGTGATACAAATATGTTAAGTTTGTTTTCTCGTACCTAATATTCTTTCACATGCGAAAGCAAGTGAACTTTTAATCGGGAACTAGACTTTTTCTGGTAAACATTTTTTCTGGCAAATGAGTGAGAAACTGACCTTGCTTTTTGATAGAACCTCAACATTTTTCAGTACCCTTCGCCTTGGCTGAGGAAAAACTTAAGTTGTCGGACTATCGATGCTTAACTACTTATTTTTTGTTGGCTGCCTTTCCACAGTAATGAAATAAATTCGTTTCATTTTTCACTTAAAACACGTGAGAGGACGTCAAAAGGCAGTGAGCCGGTCAAGGATGCCTCAAGAGCAAAGTAAAATTAGTTTTTTTTTCTGTGTATGCAAGTGTTGACTAAAAAAGGAGAGAAAAATTGGTTCAAAAACCTCTTTGGGTGTGGTCATATTTGAATCTACCTTTCTTAATTTTCACCAGAATAACTCAAATCTATAGTTTGTAGAAATCATGCAATTAATGTATCAGTTTTAAATAAATTCAAAGATTTTTTTATGCTTGTATTATTTGCTCTTAGTTTAATTGAAGTCATTTTTATCTAATGTTCGTAAACCTCTGTTTCCGTTTTTCTGGCAGAGAAATTGGTATATTTCTTCATTTGATACTACGCTGTTGATGCTGGTGCAGGGATGCTCTTTTATTATTACTTTCGTCAATGTTTTGGTCAACTCATAACATAAAACTTGTGTGAGCAGAACATGTGATCGTTTTTTATTATTTCTCAAACCATCCGTTCTTTTTAAGTCAAAAAGAGTGCGTAAGAAGCTATTAAATAAAAAGAATGCGTAAACTCGATTTCAATTGTCAATTCATATAATAGAACTCCATATTGTAATAGCGGTTCTACATATGCTAAATAAAGTCTGAATAAAGTTTTTTGATTAAAAGTATTCTGCGAGTTTCTTTTTTTTTTCATTTGAACTATATGATGCTTATAATTAAGCTTATGATCTAAAACTACAACAAGATACGCCATTTATTCCGTATATTCTAGCTCATGACCTTGGAAATTGATAAGAGGAGGTCGCTGGTTTCTACCAAAATCAAGAATAACTGCATGGAGAAAACTTAATTGTTCTCCATCCTTTCAGTTATTTTCTGCAAATCTTGATTCAATTTTGAGCCTTTACTTGTATCTTTTGCGAAGATTGTCACAGGACTGCTGGAACAAACATTGAGCAGATCATTCACATTTTGTAAAAGAAAAAACTGAAGATCCCTGAAGTGATCGCTTGGAACTCCACAAAGTAATTTCTGCTGTTTTTACTCGCTGTTTTTAAATTCAATGTGTTATTATCTGTTTGTCAATTACCATTTGAAAATTTTATACATCGGAAGCCTTAAGCCGTGATCATAACTTTTTTTCGAAGAATTCCATAATATACCGTATCAAAAGTTTTAAAAAGATTTTCAAATGTACAAGCGACATTCTCGTTTTTAAAGTAAGTCCATCGCTCCCGTTTTCTACATCCCAATATCGCAGCTACTGCTTAATTTTTCTTTCTGTAACAGAATTGATCGGTGTTATTACCCATGCGATAGTAAGGGTATTGCAATCGGGTACTATGTTTTTCCCCTTAAATAACTTTAGGCACAGAACGGTCAAAAATAGAAAAAGTAAATATTGGTTCAATTTTTAACTTATTCTAATTTCTTTGTGTCTCCGAAGATAACGAATGCGCCTGAGACGATAAAGATTTTGGGTTCAATTCTGACAGGACTTTTTTTAAAAGGAAAGATGACGTTTCACAACAAAATTGTCGGCTCATTTGTTTGCTTATCTTTGTCGGCTTCGTTATCATATTGTAGAATTGTTTTTTTTTTAGTTTTTGTTACATTATAGTTGCTTTGAACTTTTGATTTACCCTGATGCATGTAATTTTACTAACCTTGGCAGGTTGTTCTTATTCGCTTAAAAACTTTTTTCTTCACAAAAAATTTCGCCTTGCCTTTATCGTATAAGGAACTAATTTTGATTCGTTTCAAGGAAAACAAAATCTTTGTGCTCTCCTGGATCGCAAAAAATGCTCAAAGTATTGATAGAAATTCTAGTGTGAATATTTCATGAAATTTTTTTTGGCCGTTTTTTTTTCCTTTTCTTACGGCTTGATAAGTTGTGGCCTTTGTCAGATGGGTTTAATGACCATATTGCTTAATGGTCATATTGCGTCTGTTTTTTGAGGGTCAAGGAGACTTATTAACTTTCGTCTTCTTTTTTTTCTGTTCGGCTCAAAGGGTTTCTGACAAGATACTTTTCGGCTTTTGTGCACTTTCACTTCTGATACAAATCATTTTTCGAAGACTGCTTTTAAAATGTAGCAATGAGAAAATTGGCCTGTGGTTACAACTTATAGTTTAGATTTACCCTTTTATTTATGTATCGGGTAATTTTTGATGCATCAAGAAAGTAATGAAAAACATCAAGTTATCAAAGCTCCTAAGTATTGGCAATACCGCTGGTTTTATATTTTAGGGGAAGAATTGTTTTTTCGGTTGTTTCATAGGATTGTTTGAGTACGAAAGATTTTTTGTGTAGTTTTTATTTAGAAACAGATTTCAAGTGATTTGAAAGAGATGGAACTACATTCAAAGAGTAGTCATTCAAGGAGTCCGTTGTCAAACAACATCGGTAAATCAATTTTTTTCGTCCAGATCTTTTTCTGGTTAAAAAATTGTTTATGAACAATTTTCTGGCATGGCATTTTTTTTCTTTACAGCTTCACCTTTATTTCGATAGTTTTTGTAATTTGCCAAGAAGGGTCTATTGTATGAATTATATGCTCTCACATTTATGCCTTTTTTGTTGCTATTCTTTTACAGAATTAGTCTTTCGTTACTTAGCTGTTTTTTGTTTGCTTGTGTTATTTTTTTTTGGAGCTATTCTATCTAATGAGGCGTTTATCAATTCGTGCAGGCGCGTTATAAACGTTTAATTCATGTGTTTGTCAGATACATTCAATTGAAAAAATTTTGATGGTAGAGTTCTTTTTTTTGAAAGGTTGCTCAAAATTGTTAAAAGGTCCATCTGTATTTTCTTGATCAATTTTATAATTTTTTTAAGAAAAAGTCTCCACTGAGGTCGATTCCATGGTGGTATGACATTCCATACACTAAAACTTAAGTTGCACTTTGAAAAATTGGTTAGTCCAAGTTTTCACTTAGCTATTTCTCGCTTTGGATTCTCTATCAAGCGAGCTTAGAGCCCTTGCTTTTTTAAGGTATTGCAAAACATTCGGCTATTATGATTGTTCTCTTTCAAATCAATGTTTTTTCTACCAAAAAAATGTTTGAATGTCGTTGGCATTTTCAAACAAGGCATGTGTTACTGAATAAACCTTCTGCTATGGCAAAAATAGGCGATCTTTAGAACTCTGTCATCAGTAACAACTCTTCGTCAGTTTTTTCATTGTTGAACTCTGTATGCTAGTTTTTGTTGTTCTTCTTTATTTCCTTGTCCAGGTATTCTTTCATGTACAATGCTATACCCCCTCTTCACTTGCTACGATTACGTGTTACTATTTCGCTATAACCATTCAGACTATAGAAAATTTCGTTCGTATATTCATTGCAGCAAATCTTTCTCCAGGAAATTAGTAACGGTTTTTCTTTACTTCTGATAAATATGAGAAGTATATATCAGAAGTAGAGAAAAACTTTTTTAATTTTCTGGAGAGAAATTTGGTGCTGTGAAAATACAAAAAAAAAGTTTCTATAGTCTGAATGGTTATAGCGAAATAGTAACATTGGAAAAATAGTGCGAAAATAACCGTGCAGTTTTATAAAAAATAAAGCGTCGTCTGTTTGTTTTTTTTTTATTTTATTTGACAAAAAATAATGACGTATCTCGCATGTTCCGACTGTCAATATTTGGTAAATCGTATTTATTTTCTACTAGATAACTTATCTGGCAACTTATTCCTTAAAGTTTTTTCTCTACTCCTTATCATTCTTTCACGTTAAGTTAACCAGCATTTCTTCTTAAATTTAATTTCTATAACTTTACCAAGTCATTTGCAGAAAGCTGTTTCGAAAATCGCAACACTCGTTTACAATTTTTTTATCGATTTTTGATTATGGTTTCTAATTCTAACTATGCTTCCTTGACTCAGAACTAGCTCAGTTTTTGTCTGCTTAGGAATTTGCAGCAAACCAGTCTTCTGAAATTGGTTTCGAAATTTACTGCTGGAGTATCAGTTCGAAAGAAAGTTTTTTAAATGTGATCGCCGTGAAAGTTACAGCAAATCTGCTTTTCCTTTTTTCATTCGTTCATTTGAACGCTCAGCAACTCTGCTGTAAAAAAGTGTTACAAGTCAAAATAATTAGTAGCAGCGAAAATAGCAATATACTGAAGTTTCAGCTGTGATGAGTTTGTTAACAGGTATCAGTTTTTGCTATCGCTTGCTACAAACATTGCAGTAAACCGTTCGAAAGGCATATTGCTGAATCAAAAATGCAAAGATGAAAAAGATTTTGGTGGACCATCAAAAAAGTCAGGATAAAAAAATGCTCTTTTGTTATCAAACGCGGGTAGTAAAAAAACTAATTCACTTGAAATTTTCAGTTTGCCACACAATTCAAGTTGAGTTTATCTTTTTAGCTTGAACTTGAGTTTGTCGATTTTTTTGCTTCCGTGACTTAGAGGCAAGTTTCTTGTTTTGGATTCCATTTGTTTTCAATTGCAGCTTATTTTGCAATGCATTGTCCTGGTTGGCCTGCCCACCATTTTTTTGCATTTGTCTAATTATTGGATGTTTTATGCATCCAAGTCCTTGTTGACTTGTTACCTTTGCGATCAGCAAGAGTATTGCAATCGGGCACTAATTTTTTTTCGTAACACAAGGACTCCTTCACTTCTTTTTCCTCATTTTAGTTTCTGCTCCTCTCGGTTGCAAGTAGTAGGCATGTTTTGAGTTTTTAATTATTTTAAATGTTTCTTTTTCAATATTGTTTTTTTTTGTCGGCTGTTTTTTTTTCAAATTCGATTTGTCAAAATTATTTCTTTTTGTTTTTCTTACGGCCTAAGGTTTTGGCCTATTTTATATCGCCTTAGTGCTCTCATGTTGCGCCGTTTTCTCAGTGAAAAGTTCTGTGTGTGTGTGTGTGTGTGTTTTGAGTAAGAGAGTCGAACTTGAAATTTTACTTAGTTTTTTATTTTTATTTAAATTTTTTGACACTAATGGTTCTTATCAGATATTATTATTCTTTGGCTGATCGTTTATCGGCTTAATTATAGTCGATTGAGCTCTCGGTTTAAATTATATCCTGAATATTTTCCCTTCAGAGATAAATGGCCCTCAAGGTTGCTATATGGGCTGTACTTAATTCTTTTTTCATTTTTGTTTAGCCGAAACATTCCGGTTGAACTTTTTGACTGCCGACATCAATTCCGGCGGTTAAGTTAACACGTATATTGTTTTGTAGAATTGTTAAAATTTATTTTGAAATCGATAAAATCATGGTACCAGTTTTCGAACGCTCTTATTCATACTATTTTTGCATGGTAATTTTTCTTTGGATGCTGTTTTCTCATTCTAATGCTTGGGCATGTTTTTTTAAACTATCTTCAAAAATTTCGATAGATCTACTTCGATGCGTTATTATAGGATTTGCTGAGTGTTTTCTCAATGCCGCGGAAAGAGAAGAGTTTTAATTTTTTTTAGTTTGAATTTTTTTTGGTTTTAAGGGGTTTTTGCTCAGGTATTTTTGGCTTTAATACTGCTTGGTAATGTCATTCCGATGCTAATTTCGCATTCGGATGTGTACCCTTGCGATAAACAAGAGTATTGCAATCGGGAACTTGAAATTTCTATCAGTTTCAATTTTGTTTCATTTTTTTCGGCTCTATTTGCTTCTTCTCAGATGTTTATGCTTTGTTCCTGCTTGCTAAGTTTCTCAGATATTTGGCTGCCGTCATGCTTAAAATTTTTCTAATTGTACAGTAAATTGCGTTTTTACTTGCAAAAATGCAAATCACGCAAAAATTGAAAGGCAAATGGCCAGAAGTCTGAAAGTTCATAAAAGGTCGATCATATTTGTTTCTGGTTTCCTTTAGGTCGTTTGATATTGTTGCTGGTGAAATATCGTTACGGGTGGCTATGTTCCTTGATTGAAGTTTTTGTTTTACTAGGTTGTGTCTTTTTTGTTTTTTTTTTGTAAATTTTTCAATCATTTTGAGCAAGCAACTCATTTTTTTGCTAAATATTGATTTTCTGAAAGATTCGGTGCAGAGTAAAATTGCATCCAATGTTAATTAAGAGGTTCTGAAACTGATTTTAGGTGTTGTTTAATAGGTTTTGCGATAAAAGATAGTCGTTTATTTGTTTGTATAGAAGTTTTTCGACTACTTTTGATAATGCACCTGTTATTGAGATTGGCCTGTAGTTTTCTTGTAGTTCTGGATCGTCTTTTTTGTATGCTGGTGTGACAATGGCTTTTTTGAGCTTATCGGGAAAGATATTGTTTTTAATATATTCATTGAAAAAGGAAAGTAAGATGTGCGTATATTTCATTGCAACTGCAAATGAACCTCTTTTATAAGACGTGTCTGCGGCATAATTAAATCTTGCTTGACGTTTAATTTCCAAAGTTTATCTTAGTTGTCAGTACAAAAAAAACAAATCCTAGTTTTATCATAAAGGTACTTGAAAGTCAAGTTTTTCAATAATCCATTTGTTTTGAGAAAGTATTAACCAGTATGAAAAAAAGAAAGCAGACAATTTTAAATTTGAGTAATTTCTTGATTTAAAAAGCAATTGCCCATTTGGGAATTGTCCAGTTGGGGATAGGTAGGGGTTTGAATCTCGGCGTATCACTATTAGGTCTAGTTCTTGTGTGTTGAAATAGTGGAAATTTCCGGAAAAAGTAGTTTTTTTTTGGGGGGGGGGTTTGATTCGATGAGCTCAAGTAAAAGGGTACTGCGATAGTTTCGAAGTTCAAATATTGTTGACGTGGTTTCTATTAAGCTTCCGGGTTATTAATTATTTGATTGGGAAGTCAAATGATTTTTAGTTTTCGTTTATCAGGTGGTGCATCGCTCAGGTGCTGTTCGTAGTGCTATTCTTCTTCATATCAACTCCTTCGATCGTCATTGGATTCACCAACTACCTGAACGAACACACCAAGTGGAAAGATTACCTCGAAAAGGTGCCCCTCATGAAGGTCTTTGTCGGACCCCTCATCTTTGTCATTCTAGCCGCCCTCTTACCCTTCTTGGTCATTCTTATCTCTGACGTCAGAGGATTCAGCACCAAGTCAAGGCTGAATTTCTACAATTATAGACGAGTGTATATATTCCTGTTCTTCATGATCCTTGTCCTACCAAGTATCGGCTTGACGAACATCGTCGATTTGATCCGAGAGTTCTTCGAAGGCGTGAACAACCTAAACTACACGTGTATATTCAGACCAGATAACTCAGCCTTCTTTGTGAATTATATAATATCGGCTGCCATGTTGGGCCTGATGGCGGAATTGCTGCGAATAGCCGATATGTTATTCTATCTGATTCTTCTTATTCTGATGAAATCTAAAGCGGAGCGAAAGTATGTGAAGAAACAATCTATTCTCCAATTTCCATACGGATACTGCTACGCTTTTCAATTACTGGCTGTTTGTGTAGTGATCGTGTACTCTCCAATTTGCCCAATTATTGCGCCATTTGGCTTAATTTACAGTCTGATGCGCCACTATGTGGACAGATACAATCTCTACTTCTCCTTCGAACCCTCAAAATTGAACCAGAATATCCACAAATCATCCACTGTCATTCTCCTCTCGGCTGGATTTCTCAGGTAAAACTTTTTCTCTCAGCCTAGAGGCGGCGAAATTAAGAGGCGTTGATTAGATTGTCGTAGAACCAAAACGGGTTCGAATTCTGTACTTTTTGTTTAGTTTGGTCCTGCTGTTCATCTACAGTTTAATCAAATCCGATACAGACAAGAAGCTCAAGAACCTCAACTCCATCATCCTCCTAATCCTAATCATCCTAGTAGTCTGCTACTGGACCATAAAGAAGTTCCTCTACATGGTCAACTCAGTCTCTAAAGGCGTGATCGAAACCTCAAATCTGATCAAACAGGCGAGCGAAGAAAACATTCTAGCAGCAGGGCAAGGAGGATCGAACGCACAGGCAGTGCCGAAGTACAGCGCAACAGCGAATAATTCTACTAACCAGTCTTTGAACAATATTGCAGAAGATTGTACAGGGAACTACCAACGTACGGAAAGCGAGCCAATCATTGATGTTGTCAGTCGAAACGACACAGCCATGTCTAATAACGGAAGCTTCCTGAATACACCAATGAATAAAAAAGCTGCAACTTTCGATACTGCCGAACACGATGCGGAGAGGACGTTTCTAAATACCCCGATTTCGCTGAAAAAGAAACCGAAAAAGATTTCAAAGCCCTCCGATTTTCAATTGGATCCCATAAGCGAATTGGAGAAATATTTGCCACCGATATACCATCTCTTGAAGAGTCCGGATGTGGCATCAAAATTGAAAGTTTCGTTGCGACCGAAAGGAAAGTCTTGGTTCTCTCAGGGACCGGACAAGAGTCTGACTGGAAGTATGAAAACTGGTCGCAAATTCGAGCCAGTGAGGTCTCACAGGCGAAGTGCGAGTGACGGCGGAAAATTGGACGCATCGGGAAAAGAGAAGAGTAGTTCGAAGAGTAAAGCTCGAAAGTCAAAAGACGAGTTGTTCGGTTCACAAAAAAGAGACACGGACAATCATGCTGCTACGAGCGGTTCAAACAATATTATCGGAGACGCTAATAATGCAGAACCACAGGCTATAACAGTAGATTTTGCGGTTTAATTTTCAGGTTTGAAGAGTCTAATTTTTTATTGTGTAAATATTGTCAGTTGCATTAGTGTGTTAGATAAAAAAATGTTTCGCCTAACCCTAAATAAAAATCAATTAACTGAAAATGATTGTTTGTATCGACGAAAGATTAAAAAATTAAAGACTACTGTTGTGAAATTAAGTTCTTAAAAATATCTCAGGTTTTTTTTTGCGTGCGAGCTAAGGGTTGTTGCTGTGGCTTATGCATCGGCCCAATTGGTCAAGTATTAATAGAAAGGTGGTTGAGCATCTTTCGGGCGCCGGCAAGCGCGGATTATATCATTCATTCATTCTTTTTCGTGGTTTCCATCATATACTGCGGTAAAATGTCACAAAAGAAAACAACGTACATCTATATTGCGATCTGTGTCACGTGACCGTATCGATACCCGATGGCTTTGATTAATTGTTGTGAACTATTGATTTGAGGTTTCCTTTGGCATTTATTGAAATCAATTGCACGGCTATTGGTTTCAGTTGATGAGACAATCAATAATGTGACGAGGGTGGAAAAGATGATGATCAGTCGTTCGATTCCATGCGTTTCTAATATTATCAAACTACCAATAAGATGACCTTTGAAACCAAAAACTAAGTTTTTTAAGTTTTACAGTAAATCATCATAATTACTTGTTTATTGAGAGTCGTGAACGTTGTGAATACTCTTATATTGGTCATGGTAATTTTTCGTTTGTTTTTTAAGAGTCGAACGTAATTCAAGCTCTTATTTAGGTGCTGATGATTTTTCGTTTTTCAGGAAAAGTCTTAAAATTTGTCAGGCTCTCATTTATTTTTTCGCGGCTTGACTTTTGATTTCTTTTTAAGTTCAGTTCATTTCTTATGTTAAAAGGAAGGCAAACTCCACTATCGAACAGTAAAATGTAATTGTCACAAAAATGAAATCAATTGAGCAATCTCTCCCCCTCCCCCTCCCCCAAGCAAAAACTAAACACTACAAAAAGACGTCAACAAACGCAATTAGATGGTTGATGTGTTCATGACACGCGATCAGGACCAACTGAAGTGCATTTTATGAGTATCGAGAAAAATTTTGAAATGGAAAAAAAATCGAAAAATTGAAGAAAAAAAAGCTAATTTTTGTTTGGGGGACTATTGCCTCTCATTGAGGAAAACGAGTTATCAGGGTTGGTGCTCTGACCTTGTATCTGAATACCAAAATCATTTCTACTCAGCGCCTTACTATTGTACGCAATAGCTTTTTATCATTTAGGACAGAAAAGAGTAGCTTGAAGTGCCTCAGTTTTTTTATTTTGTTTTCACTCTGAATGTAATTTTTGAGCTTTGATATTGTAAAATTTGGCGTTTCATATTCGTTGGAGAATCTCATTCATGTTTTCAAATCATTCAAAGGTTTTTCAAATAGTTATAAACATCTCTGAAGTACCTATTGAGCTATCTCCCCCTCCCCCCCAACGCGAGAATGGTAAAGTCGCCCCGCCACAACACCAGTTGCTCGAAAGCTGTTGAGAAACATCTGGGCTTGACAACTGAGCGGTCCTTGTTGTCTCGCATTCTTTGTTTCGTATCAATTGCAATGATGGTTCTGAAAAATAGGAAATTATTATTATGCGTATAATAAATTATATGAATTCAAAGCAAAAACACGTACTGGCATGTTTGTCGCACAAAATTTGGACTTGGATTTGATGAGTCTTTCAATGACGTAAATGCCTTTTTCTCGGTTTAAGTGCAGTTAGCTTCTGCACTTGCACAGGTGCTTTTTCCGCGTTCCCTCACTTCGAAGTTATCACCGTTCATTGCATCCACGACGATGTATCGTTTTTTTCTGACTCATTTCATCAAGTTTATACTGAACGGGCTTGCTCTGAACCGTCGAATGCTAATTTCTTACTTAGTGGAAGCTCTTAGTGTCTTCGGGACAACCCGCTTCCAACCAGCATCAAGAGCGGCGCCAACCAGTGTCAAAACAGAAAGTTCACATAATGCCGGTTGTATCAGCTGTTTGCTTTAGACAGATTCGCGTACACGTGTGATTTCACGCTTTTCTGAGGGCCTTTTTGAATTAGATCTATAAAGGCACTGGCGATTTTTGCGTACAGGGTACAGGAATTGCTATCGTCGCCGGTGATCTCAATATGGCCTTCAGTTTATCACTCTCCGTTCGTTGAGTGTAGTGCAGCAGCCTTCTCCTGTAGAAGACAATGAGGTAATTTTGTGATTTCTGACGGAGACGAAGACGTTTTTGCACTGAATCCAGGCTCTTTCCCACCAAAGCAGTTACCCTTTCAGAGTCCAACTGATGATTAAAAGCTACCTTCTTAACGGATAGTGCTGTTTTGCAGACGGGTAGCTGCTCTAGGATTTTTGGTTCCACAATTAATTATTCCTGGTTCACCTCGAATTGTTGTGAATAGTTTTGAAGCTGTTTCTTTGGACATGCACCACAAGATGACCCCACCAACTAATACCTTCACAGTCCACTTAAGGTACAAGTTTCGGCGAAATTCAACTCACTGGATCCCGGATTTCCATAATTACTTATACCTTTTCGGAAGGTTTTTTTAGCGTAGAATCCGAAACCTATTTTTTTTAATGGTGAAAACTAACAACAGAAAAAACTATATATACATTTTCACATTATTTCAGAAATGTAGAAATTTTGAAGAAAGCTTCATTACTGTATAGTCCGTTCTGCTATTGCTTTATGAACTCGTCCAGGTAAATCGGCGCCAAACTGAACCTTATCCCATAGACTCGACGGAGGCTCCTTATCAAGCGGGACGAGTACGACCCCACGTGATAGGTATAAGTACCTGATTCTGGGTCATCAAAATTTTGGGAATGATTTACTGTTGATTGGTGAAACCTACTCAATCCTAAATCTGTGTAAGCAGCTCACTGGTCTGAAGTGATGTGGTGCCTTGCTCCACCAATTGTTGAATCAAGGGTATCAATGTTTCGCGGTTTCTTCTTTTCTTCACGAGTCTTTTCTTCTTTTCGCAGTTGCTTCTATTCCTATCTTCCCTCTCGTACATTCCAAAAATCGATTGTTGATGGGATGTACGCACGCGCCCGACGTCGTACTTCCGCCGGAAAAGCATGCATTCATTGATCTGTACGATATAATAATAATCTATCATATATTTAAATGCGGGCTTCACTATCTCGCCATGTTTAAGCTTTTTCAACGTATTATTTTTGCATGTTTAAGCTATATCGTATATTGCAATGGTTAAGATTTTTTTTCGATTTTCCAATTTGATTTTAGTGGTTATTTAACCAAGTTTAAATTAAGCAGTCCAATATCGAATTAGGGGTTGCGAGTTCGGCCTCCAATTTTGAATGCCTGAATCATTTTAGTTAACGAGATAAGACGATTTTGAGGTTTTTTCACAAGTTTCAAATACAAAATAATTTACAAAACTTGAAGTTCCCAACCCTGTAATTGGTTGCTGTCAGAGTACTCTCAAAGATTGCGAATCTTGCCTCCAAGTAGGACTGCTCATTTTTTTTGTATTTTTCGAGATAGGACGTTTTTTTGTGATTTTTTCAAAAATTTTTAGAAAACTTAATATTTTATGATTTTTTAAAATCTGAAATTCCTAACCCTGTACTTGGGTAGTGTCAGAGTACTCTAGGGAGTAACAAATCTTGCCTCCAAATATGACTGTTCAAATCCTTGTAGTTTTCGAGATATGACGTTTTTTGTGATTTTTTTTCAAAAAGTTTCAAAACTTAAATTATGATTATTTTCAAAAATCTGAAATTCGCAACCCTGTAGTTGGGTACTGTCAGAGTACTATCAAGGATTGCGAGTCTTGCCTCCAATTATGATGATCAAATCCATGTAGTTTTTGAGATATGACGTTTTTGTGATTTTTTCAAAAATTTTCAGAAAACTTAAATTATTATTTTTAAAAATTGGAAATTAGCAACCTTGAAGTTGGCTTCTGTCAGAGTACTCTAAGGAATTACAAACCTTGCCTCCAAATATGACTGTTCAAAACCTTGTAGTTTTCGAGATATGACGTTTTTGTGGTTTTTTCAAAACGTTTTCAGAAAAATTAAATTAATTTTTTATCGCTAAATCTGAAATTCCCAACCCTGTAGTTGGGTCCTGTCGGTGTACTCTCAAAGATTGCGAATCTTGCCTCCAAGTAGGACTGCTAATTTTTTTTTATAATTTTCGAGATAGGACGTTTTTTTGTTATTTTTTCAAAAAATTTTGGAAAACTTGATTTTTTAAATTCCCAACCCTGTACTTTGAAATTCCCAACGCTATAGTTCGGTGTTGTCAGGGTACTCTAAAGAGTAAACATATCTTGTGACTGCTAAACACGACTGCTGAAATGCTTTTAATTTCCAAGATGTGACGTTTTATGATTTCTTCAAAGTTTCTCAAAGAACTTATCTGCAAAGAAACTCAAAAAACTTGAAACTACCTACTCGATGAAGATACAACCTTATTGTCAGCGTCACCCTGGCATCTCAAATCTTGCCTCTTAATATGAATGCTCAAATCTTTTTAGTTTCCGAGATAAGACGTTTTTTTCGATTTTTTTTTGGGGAAACTTAGGTTTTAAAAAGTTCGCGAAATTTTGAATTCCTTTAGTAGGGTGCTCTCAGGGACTCTCAGTGGTTGCAAATCTGGACTCCAAATTTCTCCAGAGGCCCATTAAGTTTTCGAAATGACGCTTTTAAAATGGGAATTTAAAAAATTAGAAGGTCGAAATTACCAACCAAGTAATTTGGTGCAGTCAGAGTACACTAAAAGTTTGCAGATGTTGTTTCCAATATATGCGGTTTTCATGAGTTGTCGAAAAATTTCGAAGCACCGGAGTTGCGTTAAACGCTAGTAATTATAATAATACATAATTTAGATAGTCTCAAGGGTTTTCACCCATTTTTCAGTTCATCTTCAGTTCAGTTTTATTTTACTGAGAGGATTGCAGTTGCCACATCTGCATATTACTCTCCAAGTACATTTATTTTCTTCGGTGTATTGTTTAGTTAAAAAGTTCCAGTAAATGTTCTGAATAGTAGCTTTATTTAGAAACTTCTCGAAACTTTCATAAACACGAAGAACGTAGTTGTAGATTAGTTTCGTCCTTCGAAAGAAGTTTTCGTTGGTTTTATTTAGTCGCG